TGAGTCAGCAGCTCACCACAACAGCAGGATCTGTGTCAGCAGCTCATCACAACAGCAGGATCTGTGTCAGCAGCTCATCACAACAGCAGGAACTGTGTCAGCAGCTCACCACAACAGCAGGAACTGAGTCAGCAGCTCACCACAACAACAGGAACTGTGTCAGCAGCTCACCACAACAGCAGGATCTGTGTCAGCAGCTCATCACAACAGCAGGAACTGTGTCAGCAGCTCATCACAACAGCAGGAACTGTGTCAGCAGCTCACCACAACAACAGGAACTGAGTCAGCAGCTCACCACAACAGCAGGAACTGTGTCAGCAGCTCAACACAACAGCAGGAACTGTGTCAGCAGCTCATCACAACAGCAGGAACTGAGTCAGCAGCTCACCACAACAGCAGGAACTGTGTCAGCAGCTCATCACAACAGCAGGAACTGAGTCAGCAGCTCACCACAACAGCAGGAACTGTGTCAGCAGCTCATCACAACAACAGGAACTGTGTCAGCAGCTCACCACAACAGCAGGATCTGTGTCAGCAGCTCACCACAACAGCAGGAACTGTGTCAGCAGCTCACCACAACAGCAGGAACTGAGTCAACAGCTCACCACAACAGCAGGAACTGTGTCAGCAGAACAGAACAGCAGTAACTGTGTCAGCAGATCACCACAACAGCAGGAACTGTGTCAGCAGAACAGAACAGCAGGAACTGTGTCAGCAGAACACCACAACAGCAGGATCTGTGTCAGCAGAACATTACAACAACAGGAACTGTGTCAGCAGCTCAAAACAACAACAGGAACTGTGTCAGCAGCTCAACACAGCAGCTCACCACAACAGCAGGATCTGTGTCAGTAGCTCAAAACAACAACAGGAACTGTGTCAGCAGCTCAACACAGCAGCTCACCACAACAGCAGGATCTGTGTCAGCAGCTCACCACAAAAGCAGGAACTGTGTCAGCAGCAGACAGAACAGCAGTAACTGTGTCAGCAGCTCACCACAACAGCAGTATCTGTGTCAGGAGCAGCTCACAAAAGCAGTAACTGTGTCAGCAGAACACCACAACAACAGGGATCTGTGTCAGCAGCTCACCACAACAGCAGGAACTGTGTCAGCAGCTCACCACAACAGTAGGAACTGTGTCAGCAGCACACCACAACAGCAGGAACTGTGTCAGCAGCTCACAACAGCAGGAACTGTGTCAGCAGAACACCACAACAGCAGGAACTGTGTCAGCAGAACACCACAACAGCAGGAACTGTGTCAGCAGAACACCACAACAGCAGGATCTGTGTCAGCAGCTCACCACAACAGTAGGAACTGTGTCAGCAGCTCACCACAACAGTAGGAACTGTGTCAGCAGCCTACCACAACAGCAGGAACTGTGTCAGCAGCTCACCACAACAGCAGGAACTGTGTCAGCAGCCTCACAACAGCAGGAACTGTGTCAGCAGCTCACCAGAACGGCAGGATCTGTGTCAGCAGCTCACCACAACAGCAGGATCTGTGTCAGCAGCTCACCACAACAGCAGGATCTGTGTCAGCAGCTCACCACAACAGCAGGATCTGTGTCAGCAGCTCACCACAACAGCAGGAACTGTGTCAGCAGCACACACACAACAGCAGGATCTGTGTCAGCAGCCTACCACAACAGCAGGATCTGTGTCAGCAGCTCACCAAAACAGCAGGATCTGTGTCAGCAGCTCACCACAACAGCAGGAACTGTGTAAGCAGAACACCACAACGGCAGGATCTGTGTCAGCAGCTCCACCAGAACAGTAGGAACTGTGTCAGCAGCTCACCACAACAGCAGGATCTGTGTCAGCAGCTCACCACAACAGCAGGAACTGTGTCAGCAGCTCACCACAACAGTAGGAACTGTGTCAGCAGCTCACCACAACAGCAGGATCTGTGTCAGCAGCTCACCACAACAGTAGGAACTGTGTCAGCAGCTCACCACAACAGTAGGAACTGTGTCGGCAGCTCACCACAACAGTAGGAACTGTGTCAGCAGCTCACCACAACAGTAGGAACTGTGTCAGCAGCCTACCACAACAGCAGGAACTGTGTCAGCAGCTCACCACAACAGTAGGAACTGTGTCGGCAGCCTACCACAACAGCAGGAACTGTGTCAGCAGCTCACCAGAACGGCAGGATCTGTGTCAGCAGCTCACAACAGCAGGAACTGTGTCAGCAGCTCACCACAACAGCAGGATCTGTGTCAGCAGCTCACCACAACAGCAGGATCTGTGTCAGCAGCTCACCACAACAGCAGGAACTGTGTCAGCAGCACACCACAACAGCAGGATCTGTGTCAGCAGCTCACCACAACAGCAGGATCTGTGTCAGCAGCTCACCACAACAGCAGGATCTGTGTCAGCAGCTCACCACAACAGCAGGAACTGTGTCAGCAGCTCACCAGAACAGTAGGAACTGTGTCAGCAGCTCACCACAACAGCAGGAACTGTGTCAGCAGCTCACCACAACAGCAGGAACTGTGTCAGCAGCTCACCAGAACAGTAGGAACTGTGTCAGCAGCTCACCAGAACAGCAGGAACTGTGTCAGCAGCTCACCACAACAGTAGGAACTGTGTCAGCAGCTCACCACAACAGCAGGAACTGTGTCAGCAGCTCACCACAACAGTAGGAACTGTGTCGGCAGCCTACCACAACAGCAGGAACTGTGTCAGCAGCTCACCAGAACGGCAGGAACTGTGTCAGCAGCTCACCACAACAGCAGGATCTGTGTCAGCAGCACACCACAACAGCAGGATCTGTGTCAGCAGCTCACCACAACAGCAGGATCTGTGTCAGCAGCTCACCACAACAGCAGGATCTGTGTCAGCAGCTCACCACAACAGCAGGAACTGTGTCAGCAGCTCACCACAACAGCAGGAACTGTGTCAGCAGCTCACAACAGCAGGAACTGTGTCAGCAGAGCACGACCACAACAGAAACTCTCAGCAGAAAACCACAACCGCAGTAACTATGGGAACATGGTTCCAGTATATGGTATGAAGTGAAACCTGTATTCCCTCCTCACTCACTATAATAAATGGTGGAATATTTCAGGATTTTGAATAGAAAGTTGATGTTTTGTCATAAAACACAAGGGAATATTCATATCTTTTCCATGTTTACACATTCATGAGTACTGATGGCACACAACACAATCTACATGTAAATAAATAATGACAACAAAGTCGTTCATGACAACACAATGCAATGGACCAAATGATGATAATGGTGCTGTTTTATTTTATATTGGTGTTTCATGCACCAGGACAATGCTTACTGACGTGTATGAAATAAGGACCGTCCGACACGTTTCTTCTACCTTTCTAGTCTGCTGCTTAGCCACTGTTTTGCAGTGGAATGAAAACATACAAAAATTCTAAAGTAACCAAACTTATTTTCCCACAATTGTTGATTTGTATATACAATGAACTAATTAATTCAAGACAATGCATGAAAGCTGCAATACCTTACTAAGGTCCAATTTTGACTGAATAATCTAACATCTAACACACAGATGTTCGTTCGACTAACCATCTAACAATCTCCAACACACTAATACCCTCTAACATTCTAACTCTAACACACTCTCCGTAGGATCACAAAATACATTTATATAACAAACATGCATGAAATTCACGTGCAGATGTCCTATCCACGAAGCATTATGTGTTCGCGTGCACAACACATTGTCCGAAAACAAAAACTAAACATCCATAAGATAACTGAAAGTTCCAAAACGCAGCTATTGTGTAACCTCCATGGAGACCATGTGCATCTGGTAATTATCCATGAAGCAGATTACGTTTTGAAATGTGTCATATATTCAATGAACTGTTCTTCAGTCCAGCCACTGAGCTCCATGTCAGGTCTATGTTTTATGTCTATGGTAAATTATGGTAAATTATGTTCAGCCTAGTACTGACTGACTGAGTTTGGTTTTACGCCGCTTTTAGCAATATTCCAGCAATATCACGGCGGGGGACACCAGAAATGGGCTTCACTCATTGTACCCATGTGGGGATTCGAATCGGGTCTTTGGCGTGACGAGCCAACGCTTTAACCACTAGACTACCCCACCGCCCCCTTCAGCCTAGTATACCTAATAAAACTTCATGTGGTAATACTATGAAATGTGCACGAAAATGACGTCAAAGGTTTCGGATATTTGGCTCAAAATGTTTTGTGACATACTGCCTTTATCATTGTTAGAATACATTCATTTGACCGTGATGAATACCTTGAAATGGTGATATTGTTTCAGGTTTACTTATGATAGCAGAACATAATGGTACCTTATAGAACAAAGGAGAACAGAAGGACAGAATAAAACAGAAAAGTAATCTAACAGAAAAGAAGAGAACACAACAAAACAGAAAAGTTATCGAACAGAACAGAACAGAACAAAACGTGTGTTGAATATGCAGTGTGCGAAATAGTTTCCAAATTTTGCTAGCCAGTCTGGCTAGATATGCCTGAAAGTTACTAGCCCACAAAATAATTCTCAAGTCCGAAATTTGAATATAGACACAGGTTTCATCATAAAGCTTCTAATACGATGATCATTTTTATCAGGCCATAATCTTGCATGATTTGAAAGTATGTTATAGATTAACAAGTCGGAGAGATTGATATATTTACAAAATTACCCCATGAAAATTCACTAACTAGTCGGGCTAGTGACTGTGGAGATTTACTGGCTCAACTGGATTTTTACTAGCCACGGGCTAGCAGGCCCCGAGACACTAACAAAGTCATTATTACAGTCCAGGGACCCACACTAAACTCTTTTCGCAACGTAAAACTGCACCTTTGTTTCACGAATGTTGCCAAAACACTGCTTTCACCAGCAAGCATTATGGGTCTTGTTAAACATGGTCTAATTCAAAAGATATGGTAAACATGCTGCGAAAACTCTTGATTAAAATAAAAATTAGTAAAAGCAAATACTTGTAATCATGGAAACTGAATAGCTAATCATACTTACGATCGGAGAAATAGATTATTGACTTGACTAAACTCGAGGCACATGAATCTGCCCCCAGGCTTCAGAACCCTGTACGCCTCTGACAGAACCTGAAAACACATGAGAACATGGAACCAGTGACCAAAATACATACCTGGGCTCTACACATTATACAAATTTAGGCAATCAAACTAGGGTTTTAGGTGTGAGGGGTGAACACTTTAACCACTAGGCTACCCTAATGCCCATCAATTACAGTGGACTCCCTCTAAACCGTAATCGCTCGGGACTGGTGAAAATGTTGGTTTAGAGGGAGTTTTTAGAAACTCAATCCAAAATTAAACCATACAGAGACGGAATTAAACAAACAAAGAAACACAGGCATTAAAGCACTTCTGTATTGTGCTTTCGATGGTTTTACACCCGGTTGAGTTACATGATCAACTAAGTCAGAAAGGTCTGACTTAAAGTTCCACTCAAGCGTTTCAAAGTTAACACCACAGAATTTTGCACTTGCCCAAGAACAACTAAATGATACTTTCCCCTCTTGCCTGGCACTTTATTTTCACAAGTCGAGCATACTAATTGGACACCCTTCATGGCTCTAAACTGAAACCTCAGTATTTGAGCAGATGCAGCTTTTTTTAAGCACAATATGAGGTGTTTGTGCAGCTTGGTGGTTAAAGCATTCACTTGTCACGTTGAAGACCCTGGTTCTATTCCTCACATAGGTACAAAGACCATTTCTAGTGTCCCCAGCCATGAACTGTTGATAAACTGTTGCTGAACTGTTGATAAAAGCGGCAAAAACTTAACTCACACACTCATTCACTCACTCAAACCATACTCCCCCGCTCATTTTAACAATGTTCCAGTTATGTGATGGCAAGTTGGCCATGTTGATGCATGTGAGTGAGTGAGTGAGTTTAGTTTTACTCCGCTTTTAACAATATTCCAGCAATACTCACGGCGGGGGACACCAGAAATGGGCTTCACACATAGTACCCATGGGGGGAATCGAACCCGGTCTTTTTGACTTGACGAGCGAACGCTTTAACCACTAGGCTACCCCACCTCCCCTTCTGATGCATGTAAACTTATCCCACTTATCTTTGTTAAAACTCGTGATGATAATCAGTGGATTGTCTGGTCAAGACTTGATTGTTTACAGGAATTGTTTCAAGTTTGCTCAATGCAACATCAAAACATCAAAAACACAATTATCTGGATGAAAGGAAAGCCTTCACTGTTGCAGTGAGTGAGTTGTGTTTTATGTTAGTATTAGCAACATTCTAGCAATATCACTGTGGGGGACACCAGAAATGGGCTTTACACATTGTGCCCTTGTGGGGAATTGAACCTGGATCTTTGACATGATGACTGAATGCTTTAACCACTTGGCTACACCACCATCCCTGCCACTATGCAGACTGGCTATTCTCGAAACGTTCATAGCCCTACGAACTTCTTAAGCCCATTCTTAACACATTGGCTACGATCAAAGTTAAGAATTCTTAGGGCTAAGAACATTTCGAGAATAAGGGCCCAGGGGCCCGTTTCACAAAGCTCCCGTAAGCCTAAGATCTCGTTACTTTTCACGTAGCATTCGTACCTCCTATACTGTAACATAGGAGGTGCGAATGCTATGAGAAAAGTTACGAGATCTTAGGCTTACAAGAGCTTTGTGAAACGGGGCCCAGATCTACACAATTTAGCAAAACCCACAAGCAACATAATCAGAATAGGTATCTTGGCAAACAGGTGTGTAAATCCCCAACCATAGGAGTCTGGAACTCCTCAACACATCTTTGCAAGATGAACTGCCATGCCCCACACTACAGGGACAACCGTGCCTCGAAAACATTTCACAGCATGCAAGTCAAATGCACATATCAAGGATGTATTGAGGACACTAAACTAAGTATCCTTAGCTGACAAACTGGGAAAAAGTAGGGATATATCTGGATCAAAATTGGGATTTTTTTAAAGATAATATTTTCAGAGGTAGATTTAACAGTGCATTTAATACAGTAAGATGAAATTAAGCCTCTTCTGCTTTTGTGGTCCTGTTAACAGTGGAATACAAGACACCTCAATCCAGCATTAGGAACGGCAAACTTGATATAGAACAGGAAACATTTTATATATCTACTGACATTTGCTGTGTATGTCGAGATAAATTTGGCCTAATCCTGTATTTCTGGACATTACACACAAAAAATATTCGACAAAGAGCTATTCCACGCAACGCTACGGCACACACACACACACAACAGAACTAAATTTTTACGCACAAAGTAAATGACCGTCAGTTGTTGCATATCGGTACAAAACCAATTCCCACCCCTTACCCATAATTTTAAGCATAATCTTTTAATATTATAATCTACAGAATTAATCACCTCCCACCCCACCCATACATGTGTACAAAATTGATGACCCCTTACCTCCCCAGAACAAAATGGGTGATCCCAACCCTAAAATCATCATCAACCCCAAGCCATAAATTATGAACAGTCCCTAAAATTGTCAATATTTTAACCACAACTTGATTCCTGTGCTGATATACACTACAGCTGCCACTGACCACCACAACAGTAACAGTAGAGTGAGTGAGTGAGTGAGAGCTTTTAGCAATATTCAAGCAATATCACAGTGGGGGACACCAGAAATGGGTTTCACAATGTACCCATGTAGGGAATCGAACCCGGCCTCGAACCGGACGCCTTCCAGTAACAGTAGACTAACGCTTAGTCCCTGATTGACTGACTAGCTTTATTCCACCACCAGGCTACCCCACCGCCCCTTTGTAACAGTTTAACCACTAACGCTTAGTCCCTGAATATATATCATACTGATAGTAACAAACAAACCCATTTAAATTGAAAAGGAGCCCTGGTGAGATGGGAGATCCTGAACCTGGGGAAATCTAGACTTGCTTCACTTTGGGCTTTAGTATTGCAGGGAGGGCTGAGTGGACAAGGAAAATAATGTGCTTCAGTGACTCCGAGACAGACTACAGTAACTGCAGAGGTCTTTAAAACAAGTTCCCAAACCTAGCCGGAGTTACCTACCTTGTCTATGTGGGTACAGTTCCTGATGCCAAAAGCTATGGTGTATACATCATAGGAATTGTCTTCTAGTGGTAGACTTTCAGCATTTCCTTGCAACCAATTGATTCCTGAAATGTAAGACGACACTTTTTATAGTATAATTTCAGATTTGACCAACCATAGTCCAAAAATAATAATAAGCTTAATCATCTTTCATATAAGGCTGCATATCTCAACCTTTGCTGGGTAAGAAAACTTGATGATACAGCTACAACACAGTGTAAGAGGGGTTAACTTTCTCACACAAATAACATAATACTTAATTCAAAAGTCATATTCTCATAAAATGGAAACCAGTCATTACTAACAGTATAATAATTTTTAATATCATCAACTAAATAAAAAAAAGTATCTCAATTCAAGTTTCACACAAAAGTCACTTGATACAAGATAAATGAAGAAGAGACAGGCTATATGTTAAGACAGACATCATTTCGATGTTACCATGGCAAGTAATATCAACCTCTGTGGAGATCCAGTAACCATAACAGTGCAAGGCTGAAATTTAGAGATCATGTGACTTGGTTGATTTTGTGTCATTGTACCCCGAGTGTGTGGCTCGTAGCTCATAACATCAGTCACTGGTTTGTCAGGCCTGGGGTCTCGACCCACAAAATGTCCGTATCGCTACGACATTCGTAAGTCTATGATATACTATAGAGTTACTCCAGGTCATAACGTTGTACACACTTTGTGGATCGGGACCCTGATTATTTACCGGTGGCTGTTATACACAGAGATGCCAACCCTGAAGGAATGGAGAGGAAAACAGAGTCACGAGGGGCTGAAAGCCAGGCCTGAGCACCAAAGGAGCAAGTTGGGGGTAAGCGAGTGGTCGGCTCTGCCATTTTGTTTCTCTTTCATATGGACTATGAAATGCATTCGGAAAAACTTTGTGAAACTTCATCGTCAATAATATGCAATATGCACACTTGACACCTAAAGAATCACACGCTAAGCTTCTGAATGCTTTTACCAGTGTTCACTCAAATACATCACCGGTGACTTACGAAATTGCATGCCGTAAAAATGAATTCAGAATTTTTTCTAAAAAATCAGAGTTTTTTAAAGAGAAATTGGAGAGCAGATTTTGTATTTGAAAATCGGAGTAACTCCGCCAAAATCGGAGTGGTTGGCATCTCTGTATACAGTATGTCAAACAAACAAACAAACCTGTCATATATCCCAGTTTTTCAAGTTTTGCCTTCCCGACATCCAGCATCGCCTGGTTGATATCACACACAGTAACCGCTGAGTTGCGTGGAGGAGATTCTGTCTCCTCATCTGACGATGAACTGTCGGAGCTATACCCCTCTGCTGTGTCCATGTAAATATTTGCTGTTATTTCCCTTGGTATTTTCACTTTGAAATCTTGTCTATGTTCTGTTGATGTTTGTGACTGGATATATCGTAGAAACCGCAGGGCTATATCACCTGAGTGTAATAAAATGGGAAACATATTTCAAGCGTATAAAAAAATTATTTTCTTACATTTTTTGTGGTCAGTTTCAAATGTCTAGAAAGGCAATGAAAAGGTCACAAGTATTTATATGCTTGCCAGGTAATACAGAATTGTCCAAAAACATAACCAACCTGTTCCCCATGCTACATCAATGAGCCATCAACATATATCAAGAAACATGACCAACCTGTTCCCCATGCTACATCAGTGAGCCATTCCCATCAACATATATCAAGAAACATGACCAATCTCTTCCCCCTGCTACATCAGTAAGCCATTTCCATCAACATATATCAAGAAACATGACCAACCTGTTCCCCTGCTACATCAGTGAGCCTTCCATTAACATATATCAAGAAACATGACCAACCTGTTCTCCCTGCTACATCAATGAGCCTTCCATCAACACATATCAAGAAACATGACCAACCTGTTCCCCCTGCTACATCAATGGGACTTCCATCAACATATATAAAGAAACATGACCAACCTGTTCGCCCTGCTACATCAATGAGCCTTCCATCAACATATATAAAAAACATGACCAACCTGTTCCCCCTGCTACATCAGTGAGCCTTCCATCAACATATATCAAGAAACATGACCAACCTGTTCCCCCTGCTCACATCAATGGGCTTTCCTTCCATCATACATCAAGAAACATGACCAACCTGTTCCCCCTGCTACATCAATGAGCCTTCCATCAACATACATCAAGAAACATGACCGATCTGTTCTCCGTGCTATATTTAAAAACTGTTCCTGCGATTTATAAGAAAAAAAATGACCAACCTGTTCCCCCTGCTACATCAATGAGACTGGTCCCGGGTGTTGGTGCCATGCATTCCAGAAAGTGATCTTTCCATAACCTGTGCACCCCCGCACTCATGGTGTCGTTCATCAGGTCGTAGCGGGAGGCCACATTTTCGAAGACTTCATACACTGGAAGAGAACAGGACAGTGGTCACTTCACAAATCGTATCATACATATTGTAGCGTCTAGATGCTATCGCAGTTCTTTGGAACCTGGCGTGGGACACGCTACTATGGACGACAGACGACAAGCGCGTTGTGTTAGGTTGCCATCTTTATTTCGTCTGCTGTACACCACGTGACATTAGTCGCCTGTAGCTGTAAGGCGTGACTAGTCGAGCAGGCAGTACTACACGATAACACTACACTGCCCCCCTTTTTAATAAGAATGGACAATCATGACTTTGTTTAATCAACGTGACTACAAATTCAGTTTTTCAGGTTTCTTGATCTTCACAAATCGTATCATACATATTACAGCCCAGTCAAGATAAGTTTTAACCCTTAAAATGAAAAGAAAATATCTTGTGACAGTGCTATATATACTTTATATAAAATAATACCTGTAGAAGAACGTAGATACAGGAAATGATCAAAAGTCTTAAAACAGTCCTATTGCATGCTTTTGGGTATCAAGTTTGCTACATCCAGGCAGGTAAAATGTTGCTTGTACGTAACTTTTAATGGCAGGTTGCACCCAGTGCAGGTAACATTTTCCATCACAGTGGATTTATTGGTATCAATTTCCAGAATCAGATAAGTCTTCTCCTAATATGTGAATCAGTTACCAGATGTAAATAATGTCAACATGTCCATTTTCTTGCTCATAAATCAGTTACATACAACCACACATCGTGTAAACGGTTTTGTGATGTTCATGGAAGGTCAGAGGTAAACATGCTGATTTTGATGACTGCATTTCAAAGTTGAAATGAAAAGAAATTCATTAACGAAAATGTCAGTTAAAAAAAGCAACCATCTGTCAAAACATTCGTCCAGACATGCAGTGTTTGTGAGCAGTTCTGGAGATGATGACATTGACCAGAGCACCCCCTCAGTCTCATGATAAGGAATCATCAGCTTTCAATGACAGCAATAGGACTGCTGAGACACGTGCAACCAATATTCTGATGGTGCAACCTCAGGAATTCACTTGGTTGCACCTGGTGCAGGTAGTGCCATAAATGAAATTATCATCTGACTCTTACATGTTACAGTATATGCCCAGCACTGGTCACAAGTCTCCTGCGGAGACTACGACCTCCTGGGATTCTCGCAATAAACATGATAAATGTTGACTGGTAAATAATATTTAAGCTCAGTGGGGCGCATTCATTGACATGGGTTTATTTGATATAATTATGGGACTTCAAGACTGTCTCGAAAATATTTGATATCACTCTGCCATATAATTCAATTACTGAATGTCAGTGTTCTGACTTTCTCGGCCTAAGTAGTCTGATTTTGCTGTTGCTATCAGCAAATTGTCTGAAAGTCACAAATGGTCCAATCAGAATTTATCTTTCATATTTTTGGAAACATAGAAGTTATAATTCTGCAATATCAAAGAGGTTTCTCCTTCAATTGACTCCAGTATTGCAGAAATCTTCAGTTTCATAAAGAATTTGGGGAGGTAAGGCACACAACACGTGACTTGAAAATCTCTGAACTGTGAATAACTATATTAGGTATGAATTCGTGAAATATATGGTAATACACGATCCGAAGTTATGCACGCCATCTGGTGAGGTCGTTATGTATAAACCTGGGGAATTCCAACTTTCGGTAATATCATCGTATCAAAAAGGACCTACATGTCAGTATCATGAGAATTAAGGAAGTAATTTCGAAATGTAAACACCCAGAACACAAAATGCTTTGCATGCAGGTATAAAATATCGTGTGTGACATGTACATCTATTTGCGTGAAACACGCATGTTTTTGAGTTAACGCGAACACTGTGTACTTGAACTTGGCGTTCCAGCAATTTTGCACACATGCAATAGGGGGCTTAGAAATGTGCACATAAATATTTACAAAAATGCTTAGAAATTATGGGAAGGGGTGGGGAGAGGGGAGGGGCATTGATTTGTTGTACATGACATACAGGAGGGGGGGACTTTCTTTGTACATAAACGTAAGCAGGGGGTCATTCACATCGTACATGCTTCTCCATAAAAATCATCTAACCCCACCCCCACCCCCCCAAGCCATAAAACATGAACGGTCCCTAAACATGATAACCCAAAATTCGTCCGTCCACTGAAATTTGTGGATGGTTGCTCACATTATCATTGTCAGATCATCACGTGACACTGTTATTTAGTTAGTTACAGGCCACTGTCATATCCCTCACACAGTATTGTGTTGGGGTGTTTGTCATTTACCTTTGCCCTCTTTCTCTTCTTCTGGGATGTATTCAAATCCAAAATGTGTTTCTCTTTTCTCACCATTATCACCATTCTGGGTTGTGGCCAAGCATCTGATAAATGCCCCTGATAGCTTTCGGTGGCTACATCGACGACGAAATACGTCTGCTAGGCACCGAGAAGCACGCACTGTCATGGGCGCAGCCATATTGGGAGTACTCATAAAACAACAATAATTTATGGATGAATTTCATTTACATTTAGTACACAATTCATATCGTGACAATTGAACGAGTATTTACAATAAAACATATCATAAAAGTATTCATAGTCATATAATAGTTAAGAAGTAGTAATTTCTTGTGAAGAGTTATTTGATATGGTTCACATACAATGAAGTATCCCTCTAGGAAACATGGCGGTAGATGGCGAATTCCTGAGAAGCGAACGAGAGACATTTCGAAATTGTTGTTTTAAACTGAGTAGATTCGTGTATAAAGACGACGACAGTTGTCGCACCAATTTAAATCTCTTATTGGATGAGCTTACAGCTGCCGAAAATTCACAGAGGAGCGTATCGGAAGAAGTAATTCTTAAACATGTCAAACCGAGTTCATCTGTCAAACTGCCTCAGTGATAGTCTACACGATAGTCCCATCGATACAACTATCGTCACCCACTTCATTTCATATGGATTAGTACTAGTAGTAGCACTATTCAACACCGCCTGGTTAACGAACCCCACAACGAAATCTTTATGTATTTTTGTATTGACGCAAGCATGTGAGATACACAGGCAGTCTGTCAATTTGATAAGTTTTCAGTATTGTTCCTATAAAATGTATAAAACGGTTACAAAATAAACAATAACTTATACCTTTATTGACAGGGTATGTGCCAAACTTTTTATCTTGTTTAAAACGACACAATATGTTTACCTATTTTTGAAAAGGAACTAGCTAGAGCTGCAGTGGGGTCCTACATTTTAGAACATAACCCTCCATTACTAATACAAGTCTCTGTTTTAATGGAACAGTCCAGGAAGCTATAAGAATGAGTAGAACACCTGAGTCTAGTTAGAATCAGGATGATAATTATATATATGACTGACACTATGTGCAACTATTTAACTCAATCTGTGATGTAGAAGTATTGGTAGGACACCCCTTGTACCATTAACATAATCAATGCAATGCAGTATTACATTTAAGGAATCATAAACCATGTCAAGAATATTAGGTTGTCATATCAGTCAAACCAGATAAACCACCAATGGTACACACCTAGCAGAGAAATAAAGTAACCTGCTCCAATCTTTTGCTGATTTTCCAGAAAATATATCATTAAAAATGACAGTGTTCTTTTGATATTAAGGTATGTAAACAAAAAGTGACATCAATGCACCTATCATCATATTACCTACCCAAGGTTTTCTAAGCCTTGCTGAACATGCTGAATCCTCATCCTCATGTTGTGACTGACAAGAAGCCTTTGATTTTCATTCTCTATTTTGATCTCTGTATTGTTTCAGGAGGGCAATGAGTTGCTATGGAAACTTTCATCCTTGGTTCCATTTCACCAGGAAAGACTTATTGCCAAAGTTTGCCAGACCATAACCAACTTCAAACTCAGGCATCAGGTGAGCTGCTGTACATGGTAGACAGGGTTGATGAACTTGTTATGCTCACATTTCATATATGCTTGTTTGTCAGTTCACCAGTCACCAGGGTTAGAATTGATCTTCAGCAACCCATGCCTGTTGTCAGACACAGTGATTTTGTTGATGTATGACATGGTATCCAAATAATGTCCTAATTGTGTAGATACAGGATTCTCTGTTCCAAAAACTATGACTCTTTTAGGTACCCTCTCTCAAATCAGTCAAATACCTTGTCATCTACTTAGTAATGCACGTGAATGGATTAACAATATTCCTACTGTCCCTGACCGCCTCTGTGGTGTAGTGGTTAGAGCGTCCGCCCAGAGAGCGGAAGGTCGCGGGTTCGATCCCCGACCGCGTCATACCAAAAGACGCTAAAATATGGTACTTGTTGGTCCCTGCCTGGCTCTTGGCATTAAATGGGTACAACAAGGACTTGTCGGCTCGGAGTCAGTATAATGTGTCTGAGTGGGGTATTCATGCTTCACTGCGGTATGGTATCTCAGTGAGCTAGCACTATAAAACCAGCTTAAGTCTGGGCTAGTACAAGCAGCCGCACATACACATACGCAACGCATGCACATCGTCATATGAGCGAAATATTCTCAAGCACGACTTAAAACCTAATTTCACCTCACCTCACCTCACCTCACCTCACCTCACCTCACACCACACCACACCACACCACACCACACCACACCACACCACACCACACCACACCACACCACACCACACCACACCACACCACACCACACCACACCACACCACACCACACCACAGTCATATAGCTGGAATATATGGCTTGATTACAGCATTACCCAACACACACAAAACAAACTTATAATGGACATGATACATGCATACATTAAGGAGAAAGAGAAACTTTTCATGTGACTTTATTTCATTTGAGTCAGCATATGAAACATGGTATCATGCAGCTTTTAGCAATATTCAAGCAAATATAAAATTGGGGAAATGCTAGAAATGTTCGTTCATGTAATGGTGAGTGAGTGAATTCAGTTTTACGCCACACTCAGCAATATTCCAGCTATATGGCGGGGTCTGTAAATAATCCAGTCTGGACCAGACAATCCAGTGATCAACAGCATGAGCATCGATCTATGGAATTGGGATACGATGACATGTCAACCAAGTCAGCGAGCCTGACCACCCCATCCTGTAAGTCGCCTTTTACGACAAGCATGGGTTACTGAAGATTCTAACCCAGATCTTCACGAGTGCATTCATGTAATGGAATATTGTATCTGTCTTCTCAGCATCCAGTCAGTGATCAGTGTCTGGAGTCCCTGCTAGACTTCTGTATCAGAGCCCTCCAGTGCTGCAAGCCCTGGTCCCACCCCGACATCCTGCAGGCACTCAGTGCCTCTCTCCATGACAACAGTAACCGGGTCGGCAAGGTCAGCTCCCTCTTTAACATGCTGTAGTCGTGTAGCCTTCGAATTGATGCCATTGAAGATCTACTGTTTCTTTAAAACGTTGCTGTAGTCGTTTAGCCTTCGAATTGATGCCAATGAAGGTCAGCTGTTTAAGATGTTGCTGTAGTCGTGTAGCCTTCAAATCAATGCCATTGAAGATCTACTGTTTCTTTAAAACGTTGCTGTAGTCGTGTAGCCTTCGAATTGATGCCAATGAAGGTCAGCTGTTTAAGATGTTGCTGTAGTCGTGTAGCCTTTAAATTGATGCCATTGAAGATCTACTGTTTCTTTAAAACGTTGCTGTAGTCATGTAGCCTTCAAATTGATGCCAATGAAGGTCAGCTGTTTAAGATGTTGCTGTAGTCGTGTAGCCTTTAAATCAATGCCATTGAAGATCTACTGTTTCTTTAAAACGTTGCTGTAGTCATGTAGCCTTCGAATTGATGCCAATGAAGGTCAGCTGTTTAAGATGTTGCTGTAGTCGTGTAGCCTTTAAATCAATGCCATTGAAGATCTACTGTTTCTTTAAAACGTTGCTGTAGTCGTGTAGCTTTTGAATTGATGCCATTGAAGGTCAGCTGTTTCTTTACGACGTTGCTGTAGTCATGTAGCCTTCAAATTGATGCCATTGAAGGTCAGCTGTTTAAGATGTTGCCGTAGTCGTGAAGCCTTCAAATTGATGCCTTTGAAGATCAGCTGTTTCTGTAAGACGTCGTGTAGCCTTCAAATTGATGCCATTGAAGATCAGCTGTCTCACTAAAGCGTTGTTGTGGTCATGTAGCCTTAAAATTTTATGCCATTGAAGATCTGTGTGTTTTCTAATACAGTTAACTTCATCAGTACATTTGTAGTTCCAAGGCATTAAATGAGACCCAGGTTCATTTCTCTGACACCCTTCAGTTGATTTCCTAAAGATTTATTGATATTTTTGTTATATGTCATTGCTTATGCACAAAAGGCTCGAGTCAAATCATAGACGGTATCTAATCACCCCCATTTCACAGTAGTATTGGTCAGTCATCCTTCTAGAAATTGTTGACCGCCTCCGTGGTGTAGTGGTTAGAGCGTCCGCCCGGAGAGCGTAAGGTCGCGGGTTCGATCCCCGACCGCGTCATATCAAAAGACGTTAAAATATGGTACTTGTTGGTCCCTGCCAGCTTAAGTCTTGGCTAGTACAAGTAGCCGCACATACACATACACACGCATGCACTTCGTCATATGAGCGAAATATTCTCAGGCACGACGTTAAACCCAATTTCACCTCACTTCTAGAAATTGTCAGCTCTCAAAGCATCTCAAACAACCCCCAACTAAGGGAAGTTACTCTAAACTATGATCTACTCTACCAAAATGTGATATTTTACAAGTGTTTCAATCAATTTGCTGCCTCTTATGCTCAGCAAATATTCTATCTCAAAACATTTCCTGCCACATAAAGAGTAGCAAGACTCCTTGGCATCTTCAGTGTTGAACTGTGAATTAGAATGCAGTTGATAGAGATGCTGTACCCTGTAACGATGTATCCTGTTACCATACATTGACAGCGACACACAACATGTTATCAACAATTGCTTTGCACTTTTACCAATCATATTCCCTTTATGCCGAGCAAATGTTGACTGTCGTAAATTTCTGTGTACCTTTCCTAATTTATGAGTAATAATCTCTTTTTATGTTCCCCATGGCAACAGTACCATGAGTTGTTGCTAGGCAACCAGGGTATCTTGGTCCAGCTGACTGATAAAGGGGTATCGGATGAGGACATCCTAACAGGTGGTGTACAGTGCCTTGAAAACCTCACTGCAAAGTAAGTTTTAATCTGTACATATTTATGTTCCAATTTTGGAATGATTACTGAATTACAGTCTTAAGTGATAAACCTGATATGGCCAAAATGTCATTGGAATTTTAAATTTTCGAGATTTTACATCACTGCATGTGGTTATGTTACATTAAAGATTGGAGGTGGAGATTATAGCAATGGCTAGACTGACAGGCGGATGTTACAAATATTTTGTGAAGTAAGTATGGTATACAATGTGACTATGTTTGAAGAATTTCAATGTGACTGTTGTTTGTACAGAGTGCCTGGTCAGAATGGTCTGAGTGATGCCCACAGTCAGCTTATCTTCTCCATCTTCCTGCGTCTGCTTCACACCGTCCCCACACAGAAGATCGACCTCATCGTGCAGTGCAAGGTCAGAACATGAGTCAAACAGCTGTTAATATTATTAGCATAATCTATTGATATACTGCTGAGTTCCAGCTAGCATAGGATGTCAATCTCAATGGCACTTCGTATTATCAATCTCAACTCCCTGGGGATCATGCAACTCTTGCAGCCACTAGGCGCACCAAGTTAATGTGGCTTTCCCATCCTTACAAGGTACCCATTCACAGCTGGGTGGACTGGGACACATAGTCACAGTACTTTGTCCAAGTTTACTGCACATTGCTGTACCCACAACTAGGTGTTTGCATGTATTCATGTGGCCACCATCTGGTCATATACCACTTGTGACCATAAACACAGTATATGTTATTCTTCTGAAATGTAATGATACTTTTGTCATGCAGAACATATGCCATCGCTTTATCAGTTACGTTGCTATTTGTAAAAATACTTCAGTACATTTTGGAAATACTATCAGTCAGTGTCCTAGAAAATGAACTGATTAAAATCCCAGTACATTTGAAATTGTAGCAGTATCATGATTGGTGTTTTGTTTTCGTCCTGCATAAGGGTTATATACAAGGACAGGAGGCTTAGTGTCCTGTGTTAGGTTTATATGCAAGGACAGGAGGCTTAGTGTCCTGTGTTAGGTATATATACAGGGGCAGGAGGCTTAGTGTCCTGTGTTAGGTTTATATACAAGGGCAGGAGGCTTAGTATCCTGTGTTAGGTTTATGTACAAGGGCAGGAGGCTTAGTATCCTGTGTTAGGTTTATATACAAGGACAGGAGGCTTAGTGTCCTGTGTTAGGTTTATATACAAGGACAGGAGGCTTAGTGTCCTGTGTTAGGTTTATATACAAGGGCAGGAGGCTTAGTGTCCTGTGTTAGGTTTATATACAAGGGCAGGAGGCTTAGTGTCCTGTGTTAGGGTTATATACAAGGACAGGAGGCTTAGTGTCCTGTGTTAGGGTTATATACAAGGACAGGAGGCTTAGTGTCCTGTGTTAGGTTTATATACAAGGGCAGGAGGCTTGGTGTCCTGTGTTAGGTTTATATACAAGGACAGGAGGCTTGGTGTCCTGTGTTAGGTTTATATACAAGGGCAGGAGGCTTAGTGTCCTGTGTTAGGTTTATATACAAGGACAGGAGGCTTGGTGTCCTGTGTTAGGGTTATATACAAGGACAGGAGGCTTAGTGTCCTGTGTTAGGGTTATATACAAGGACAGGAGGCTTGGTGTCCTGTGTTAGGTTTATATACAAGGACAGGAGGCTTGGTGTCCTGTGTTAGGGTTATATACAAGGACAGGAGGCTTGGTGTCCTGTGTTAGGTTTATATACAAGGACAGGAGGCTTGGTGTCCTGTGTTAGGTTTATATACAAGGACAGGAGGCTTGGTGTCCTGTGTTAGGTTTATACACAAGGGCAGGAGGCTTGGTGTCCTGTGTTAGGTTTATATACAAGGACAGGAGGCTTGGTGTCCTGTGTTAGGTTTATATACAAGGACAGGAGGCTTGGTGTCCTGTGTTAGGGTTATACACAAGGACAGGAGGCTTAGTGTCCTCTGTTAGGGTTATACACAAGGACAGGAGGCTTAGTGTCCTGTGTTAGGGTTATACACAAGGACAGGGAGGCTTGGTGTCCTGTGTTAGGGGTTATACACAAGGACAGGAGGCTTAGTGTCCTGTGTTAGGGGTTATACACAAGGACAGGAGGCTTGGTGTCCTGTGTTAGGTTTATATACAAGGAAGGAGGCTTAGTGTCCTGTGTTAGGTTTATATACAAGGACAGGAGGCTTGGTGTCCTGTGTTAGGTTTATATACAAGGGCAGGAGGCTTGGTGTCCTGTGTTAGGGTTATATACAAGGACAGGAGGCTTGGTGTCCTGTGTTAGGGTTATATACAAGGACAGGAGGCTTGGTGTCCTGTGTTAGGTTTATATACAAGGGCAGGAGGCTTGGTGTCCTGTGTTAGGGTTATATACAAGGACAGGAGGCTTGGTGTCCTGTTTTAGGTTTATATACAAGGGCAGGAGGCTTGGTGTCCTGTGTTAGGGTTATATACAAGGGAAGGAGGCTTAGTGTCCTGTGTTAGGTTTATATACAAGGACAGGAGGCTTAGTGTGCTCTGTTAGGGTTATACACAAGGGCAGGAGGCTTGGTGTCCTCTGTTAGGTTTATATACAAGGGCAGGAGGCTTAGTGTCCTTTGTTAGGGTTATACACAAGGGCAGGAGGCTTGGTGTCCTGTGTTAGGGTTATATACAAGGGCAGGAGGCTTAGTGTCCTGTGTTAGGTTTATATACAAGGGCAGGAGGCTTAGTGTCCTGTGTTAGGGTTATACACAAGGACAGGAGGCTTGGTGTCCTGTGTTAGGGTTATATACAAGGACAGGAGGCTTGGTGTCCTGTTTTAGGTTTATATACAAGGGCAGGAGGCTTGGTGTCCTGTGTTAGGGTTATATACAAGGACAGGAGGCTTGATGTCCTTTGTTAGGGTTATACACAAGGACAGGAGGCTTGGTGTCCTGTGTTAGGGTTATACACAAGGACAGGAGGCTTAGTGTCCTGTGTTAGGGTTATACACAAGGACAGGAGGCTTGGTGTCCTGTGTTAGGGTTATATACAAGGGAAGGAGGCTTAGTGTCCTGTGTTAGGTTTATATACAAGGACAGGAGGCTTGGTGTCCTGTGTTAGGTTTATATACAAGGGCAGGAGGCTTGGTGTCCTGTGTTAGGGTTATATACAAGGACAGGAGGCTTGGTGTCCTGTGTTAGGTTTATATACAAGGACAGGAGGCTTGGTGTCCTATTTTAGGTTTATATACAAGGGCAGGAGGCTTGGTGTCCTGTGTTAGGTTTATATACAAGGACAGGAGGCTTGGTGTCCTGTGTTAGGGTTATATACAAGGACAGGAGGCTTGGTGTCCTGTGTTAGGTTTATATACAAGGGCAGGAGGCTTGGTGTCCTGTGTTAGGGTTATATACAAGGGAAGGAGGCTTAGTGTCCTGTGTTAGGTTTATATACAAGGACAGGAGGCTTAGTGTGCTCTGTTAGGGTTATACACAAGGGCAGGAGGCTTGGTGTCCTGTGTTAGGTTTATATACAAGGGCAGGAGGCTTAGTGTCCTTTGTTAGGGTTATAAACAAGGGCAGGAGGCTTGGTGTCCTGTGTTAGGGTTATATACAAGGACAGGAGGCTTAGTGTCCTTTGTTAGGGTTATACACAAGGGCAGGAGGCTTAGTGTCCTGTGTTAGGTTTATATACAAGGGCAGGAGGCTTAGTGTCCTGTGTTAGGGTTATACACAAGGACAGGAGGCTTGGTGTCCTGTGTTAGGTTTATATACAAGGACAGGAGGCTTGGTGTCCTGTGTTAGGGTTATATACAAGGACAGGAGGCTTGGTGTCCTGTGTTAGGTTTATATACAAGGGCAGGAGGCTTGGTGTCCTGTGTTAGGGTTATATACAAGGACAGGAGGCTTAGTGTCCTTTGTTAGGGTTATACACAAGGACAGGAGGCTTGGTTTCCTGTGTTAGGGTTATATACAAGGACAGGAGGCTTAGTGTGCTCTGTTAGGGTTATACACAAGGACAGGAGGCTTGGTGTCCTGTGTTAGGTTTATATACAAGGGCAGGAGGCTTAGTGTCCTTTGTTAGGGTTATACACAAGGACAGGAGGCTTGGTGTCCTGTGTTAGGTTTATATACAAGGACAGGAGGCTTGGTGTCCTGTGTTAGGGTTATATACAAGGGCAGGAGGCTTGGTGTCCTGTGTTAGGGTTATATACTGCAAGAACAATGAGGATACCTAAACTGCACATAACCTGAGTGATACTGCTAGAACTCATCTATCTACCAACAAGTTTCAATTTGCCATTGTAAAAGAATTCAAACAAACTAAATGCTGTTTGTTTAAGGTTAATATCACTTCCAATGACTCAAACAACATGAACCTGTCAAATAACATTCTGACTTGGAGGGGCGGTGGGGTAGCCTAGTGGTTAAAACGTTGGCTGGTCACGCCGAAGACCCGGTTTGAATCCCCACATGGATACAATGTGTGTACCCATTTCTGGTGTCCCCTGCCATGATGTCGCTGGAATATTGCTAAAAGCGGCATAAATCCAAAACTCAGTCAGTCAGTCTGACTTGGAAGTCAGATAATTTAGTTTGTTATGATGTTTTGTGGTGATGGTTGTCATGACAGTGATGTTGTTGATGATGATGATGATGATGATGATGATGATGATGATGATGATGATGATGATGATTACTCTTCAGATCCTGATTTGTTCTTTGCGTGGCATCCAGAATCTCCTTCTCACAACGAAGTTGATGCCGTCAGACAACCTAGGACCACTTCTGGCTGGGATCAGGGTAATCATGGCGAATAGCTTTTGCATAAATTTAAGACAGCGACCCATTGGACTCATTATGTTTGCTAACACAAATCAGTTTGCATTACATTGTCTCATTGATGAATGGATATGAAGAGTCTTTTGTTAATTTATAGATATTTTGTCTTAAGCTTTGAAGCCTCAAAATTCAATTGATCAGCATCAAATCTCAAGGTAATAATAAAACAAAAACAAACTTTATAAAATTCTAAACGATGATTGCTGATTTACTCACCTCCAGAGCCACACCAATGTACCCACCAACTCTCCTACCTACCCAGACTGCCTCTGTGGTGTAGTGGTTAGAACGTCCGCCTGGAGAGCGGAAGGTTGGGGGTTTGATCCCCGGCCACGTCATACAAAAAAACCATTAAAATATGGTGCTTTTGGGTCCCTGCCTGGCGCTCAGCATTAATGGGTACAACAAGGACTGGTCGGCTCGGAGTCAGTCAGTCTGAGTGGGGTATTCATGCTTCACTGCGGCATGGTATGTCAGTGGGTTAGCACTATAAAACCAGCTTAAGTCTGGGCTAGTAGAAGCAGCCACACTTACACACGCACGCACATTGTCATATGAGCGAAATATTCTTAAGTGCGATGTTAAACCCCATTTCACCTCACCTCACCTACCTACCCACGATGCAGTGATGTTAAGCAAAATTCACTCACCCATTATCCCTCTGTAAGAGTGATATATCAGACCATGACCAAAAAAAATTCCCTTGAATTATGATGAAGGGCTGCAGAATCAGAATACTTATCGTGGTGTGTCAACTGATGAACTTTTACATTGCCAGGCCTACATGTTCCATGGTTTGTCCAGCAATCAGCTGTCCCCCCATACCGCCCAGCTTGTACCCGACTCCCATGGTGCAGTACGACCTCGGATCAGCGTCTCCTCAAAACGACAAGAGTAAATCCGACACCAAAGAAAAAGACACTCCAGCTAAGCCAGCCAAGAAATCAAGACGAAAGAAGGCTTCGAAGAAAGAGGCGGAGAAGGAGAAAGATTCTGACGCTCCAAGCACCGAATCCCCGAGGAAGACAGAAACAGAGAGTACAGATACTGCAACATCAGCTACAACCTCTGCCGAGGATGCAACCTTGACCTTTCAGACCTCTTGGATGAAGGTCTTAAGTTCGGATTCAGAGTATTCTGACACCGAGGGGAGGTCAAGCTTCCAGAGTGAGGTCCATGTGTACCAAAGTGAGGCAGACGGCCTTCAGCTGTTTCCATGCTTTAGCAAAGGTGAGAATGTTATTGATCCTGCTGAGTTGCCTGTCAGGAGAAGTTATTACACAGTTCATACTGACACAAAGAGGACTTGAATTTAACCCTCGAAAAGTGTTGGAGCAGGGTGTTGTGTCATCCCATGAACTTGAATATTTATGGCCACTTCTATTTACTATTTCCCAAAATAATGGATGTAAAGTGCTTAAAGTGTATAAAAGTCTTGGAAAGGTGCAGCGAGTTTAATAGTGTAACAGCCATAAGATTTCAGTGTCCCGTACTGGGATTTGAACCACAGACCTTCTGATATCAGGTCCCATGACCTGATGGGTTAACCCATCAGCAAGCTGACAAGGTTGGGATGTCTCTGCACCCTGCTACAATAGGAAGAATGCTGTCTTGAAGATTTACAAAAATAGTTATTTTTCCTTATCCTGACTCATGCTCTTTTGCTTGTCTTCTTCTTCTTGCGAACATAGTGGAACACTTGTATCTCCTTAATTGAAGCTCCCTTCAATGTAAAATCACTTATTGGTACTCACCACGAGTTGCTCCCCTTGGCCCCTCTGGCGGGAACAGGTGTCGCCACCCTCTGGCCATGTGCTCCACTCTCTCCTTCTTCGCCCAGTGAGCAGGATGTGAGAGCGCCTGTGTCTCCTTACACACCATATCCTTTGATATTTCTTAGTTTATTACCTCTTATAGGTTACTATAGAGGTATAGCTAGTATCCTTCACTAATTTGTATTGATTATTTATCGTATTTCTACTGTTTATTCACGTGTGTTCGTGATTGTTCAGCTAGTATTACGTTGATGAAAATCTGTACTATTTGTAGATTACGTTTTTCTGCCTCTGATCCATGTAATATGCCCTAGTTGTTCTACGCCGTTAGCGCTTTTGATTCACGTTGCAGTTACTGCATTAATTTAACTAATTCTGCATTTAATAAATATCATCTTTGCGTCTTAAGACGTGCTGCAGATAGGTCACGCAAACAAGGGCTAAACATGGCTGATACTCCAGATATTCCATCCAGTCAGCTGCTGGCGATCGACCCCCTCCCGTCTGGTGTTCTGCTAGAGACCCCATCGGAAGAGGGACGTGGGATGCAGTCCGTCACCTCTAAGAAGCGACTGGCCTCCCCAGACATCCCATCATCGCAGACGAAGTCCAAGAGGGTCTCAACGTCTTCTCAACGCAGACTTCATACCCCCAGGGCAGCGTCGACTTCCAAAGGGAAATCTACGAAGACAGCGAGAACTTTCTCAGCCGAGATCGTTCCAGCCGCAGAATTGGGCCTCTACGATGATCAGCCGATAATCATCCCCGACTTACGGCACAAGAAGCGAACGGTGTCAGCGACAGTGACTTCAGCAGAGATCACCATGCAGCCTGATGCCTCTACACTGATGTCGGACGTTATTGATGTGGACCCCTCCATTAACACCGCAGAGAAGGCTCCGACGACCTCGTCACAGACCATCCCTGAGGACCTGATGCGGCAAATTATGACCATGATGGAGGACCGCTACAGACTGCAGAAGCAGGGACCGAGCCTTCGCGAAGGCTCCAACGTAGACAGCACCCCAGAGGCACCCCCCGTCAACGTAGCAGCCAGGACGATGTCACCTTCGCGAAGGAAGTCCCGGACCACCTTGACGAAGGACCTAGATGTACAGCCTTCGCGAAGGCCTTCGCGAAGCCGGGATAGATCATCACCTTCTTCGGTTTCATCCCTAGATATGGACTCGGACCATCAGACGTCACGGAAGCCTTCGCGAAGGTCATATCGCCGTTCCCCCGGACCGGACGCAGAGGAAGCTTCGCGAAGGCATTCGCGAAGGACACCTGAATCCAGATCTTCATCATCTAGAAGGACATCGAGGGACTATACAAGAGCTTCGCGAAGCTGTCAACGTTCGCCTCACAAGTCTCCGAGAAGATCAACCCATAGACGTAGATCGCTTAGACGATCTCCGCTTCGTTCATCACCATGTCGATCACCTTACAGGTCACCACACAGATCTGCGCACAAGCCTACAACTAGATCGCCACAAGCATCACCGGACATAGAGACAGCTACACGCAGTCCTGAAGAGCATCAACCTTTCATCAATGATGATGGAATAGAGGATGATGGAGGAATTATTTTCTCCGATGCAGAGATACGGTATTGGATGGTCAATAACCTAGATCTCTCATCACCATCTAAAAGTGGCAATATGGCGCAGACTTACTTGATGAAAGAAGACGATGCAGATGCGATCACACTACCTCCGATCGACCCGATTGCGGCAGTTCCACAGAATCTAGATACAGCATTCCATAAAGCCACGAAAGTTCAGACACCGCATCTGCCAAACTTTCATGCCAAGAAGTTCTCCACGCACAACATGGACCCCTTCTACAAAGCTCAGGACATCGATGAGAACTATAAGATCATCAGCAATGTCAAGAATAAGAATTACAAGATTGATGATCGCAAATTGGCTCAGATAGAAACCATGACGAGACGTATGTTCTTTGGTTTAAATAGATCTAGAACGATCAATGAGACACTTATCACCAGATTTCGTGATACGACTTCTGAAGATGATAGAATGATTTACTCTGCCTTACTTATGCAAAAGAAGGACCAGCAGTTCCTAACGGATCATCTTACATCTGTTTCAGCAGCACTGACCTTAGCTCGTCGTCAAGGCCTCCTCGCTTCCTGCAACTGGGGTGAGAACTTTACAGCCCCACTTTATACAGCCCCATGGTCTTCAACATCCATCTTTAACGGAGAAATAGACAAAGTCTCCAAGGAAGTCACTAAGGATTCCAGAGAAGTCCTTATGATTAAATCGATGGACACACTAGCCAGCGTCATTCGTCAGACTTCACAAAGATACTCAGGGGAGATCTAAATTCACGGGCCTACAAAGAGCAAGGGATAGGAAGATAGCCAGCTCTAGAGGTAAAGATTCTTTTCGTCGCCCATATGGCAACTATAGAGGAGGGTCAGGAAGAGGCAGGACACCCAGAGGTTCCCGCAACTATAAACGCTGAAAGACAGGTTCGGAACGACTGGAGTCTTCCACCCCCCAGCCGTTCCAGTACAACCGTCACAAGTGGGTGGACGTCTCCAACTACACTGGGAAAACTGGGGAATATTTCAAGTTAAGAGAGGCTGTTTCATCACTCCTAACAAAACAGGCCATAGAAGTAATAGATCAAGCAAACATCGAACCAGGTTTCTACTCCCCAGTTTTCCTAGTTCCCAAGAAAAACTCCAAGGAGAAATACAGACTCATCTACAACATGAGCTTTTTCAACAAGAATTATCTACGCAAACCACCGAAGTTTCGCATGATACATTTACCTCAGTTACGCCAGATGATTCGCCCTATGGACTACATGGGCAGCATAGATCTACAGGACGCATACCTGCACATCCCAATTCATCCCGAATCCAGGAAATACCTACGGTTTACTCTAGAAGGGCTACACTACCAGTGGAAAGTACTCCCATTCGGAATATCATCAGCCCCCTGGCTATTCACGGGGATAACGAAACCGATTATCACCTTTCTACATCGTCAAGGGCTACGCAGTGCGTTTTACCTCGATGACTGGATACAAGTAGATCAAGATCCACAGCGTCTCAAACTACAGTTAAATTACATCATAAAGCTACTAACACAGCTAGGATGGTTAGTAAACTTACTCAAGTCGGACCTAGTACCATCGCAAGACCTGCAGTTCCTAGGCATTCGATTTATCACAAATCGCAACCGTATCGTTGTACCAGAAGACCGTTGGCTAAAGATACAACAGACCATTCCACCAGCTCTACTCTCTCCGTTACCACTTCGACAATGGCAGAGCCTACTAGGTCTTCTCACATCAGCCCAAGACATGACTGTCACAGGCAGATTACAGTTACGTCCCCTACAGGTCCTCATCAACTCACATCTCAACGATTTACAACCTTTCAGTCTACCGAAACATCTCAGACCTCATCTACTATGGTGGACCAAGAAATCGAATGTCTGCGAAGGGATTTGTTTAGCAGAGCAGGAATTCAAAACCCATCTATATGTAGACGCGTCACTCCAAGGTTGGGGAGCTCATCTCGCCAACCAGACGACATCAGGATTATGGAATCAGCAAGAAAGCAAACTCCATATAAACACCCTAGAGATGAAAGCTGTAATCAACGCCATTCTGCATTGGAGCACTTTTCTACAAAATGCGCACCTAATGATCCATACCGACAATTCGACAGTGGCGTTCTACGTGAACAAGCAAGGCTCAACGAGATCACTGAACCTTTTGAACTTAAGCTTTCAACTGTTCGATCTAACCCAAGATCTAAATCTACATGTCAGAGCAGTTCACATTCCCGGAGCCAGAAATGTACTAGCAGACGCTCTCTCGGCCTCATCTACCATCACCGACAGAGTGGATGATCAACACGGTAATATTTGCACAGATAATCAAGCAATTAGGGCTACCGCTAATAGATCTATTAAGCACACGATTCAACAATCAGCTACCGACATTCGTGTCACCAGTCCCAGACCCTCAAGCTTGGGCAACGGACGCTCTAAGCTTATCCTGGGAAGGCCTCAATGCGTACGCGTTTCCGCCGCCAGCAATAATGCCTCAAGTGTTACAGAAAATCAGACAAACACAGAGCCTACAACTCACTTTGGTCGCGCCCTACTGGCCGGCCAGAACGTGGTTTCCCATCCTAATTCAAGAAATCGGTCAACCGGCACTAGAGCTACCCAAGCGCTCAAACCTGTTAATACATCCACACACCAAACAGGTGCACGGAAACCCAGAAGTGTTCCAACTACACGTATGGACTGTATACAAATGTGTTTAAGCAAGAGAGGATATTCTGCCAGGGTGGCAAAAGCGGTTACGCTTGCCTTACGTTACTCGACTCGTAACTTGTACGACGACAAGTGGCACAGTTTCGAAAATTATGCAGCAAATAAAGGATTTACAGCGAGAGATGCTTCACATCCTCAAGTGGTAGACTATTTGTGTTACCTTCGCCAAAACAAACATTTAAAAGGTTCGACGATATCAACATATCTTGCCGCTCTTAGTTCTGTGATCACCATGAGATCGGGTGTCAAGTTGACAAAATCTCCAGAGTTACTGGCCTTACTACGTGCTTTCCGATTGGAGGACCAAAAGCGGAAGTTCCACGCCCCAGCTTGGGATCTGAATATAGTGTTACAACACCTCACTAGTGAGGCTTATGAACCTTTGGAATCAACAACTTTTGAATTTCTCTCACAGAAAACACTATTTCTGCTATCTCTAGCCACGGCTGCAAGAATGTCCGAAATTCACGCTCTAGATTACGAAAGGATACAGTTTGATGACAATCAAAACACAGCGCACCTGGGATTAAGTTGGGGTTTCATCGCTAAAAATCAACTACCAGGTCAACCAGACAGGTTATTCCATGTCGCGGCGCTATCCTCTATTCTCGGATCACAAGATACACAAGACTTATCACTGTGTCCAGTCAGAGCTCTCAAAGTTTATTTACGACAATCCAAAACAAGGCGAAGATTTCTCAAACGTTTATTCATCCCCTTATCGCCAACGACTCAAACAGAAGTGTCTCGTACCACCATATCTATTTGGATAAGGACTGTCATACTCCGTGCCTACAAGGCAGCAGGCTTGGACCCACCAACAGCATCAAATCCGCTTGAGATCAGGGCACTGGCTTCCACCCTCGCCCTACACGGTAACTGCTCATTGAACACAATTATGGAAGGATGCTATTGGAAATCTAACATGGTGTTTGCTAATCACTACCTGAGAGACATCACCACCGAGGATGTCTCTGGCATTCACCATTTCGGCCCATTGGTCCTCGCTCAGCAACTGATAGTCCCTCGTAGGCGTTAACTGTTACCCTCACAAGATTAATATGTATTATATACATACTTTATCTAGCTTATAACTCTACGGAGTTCTAGGGCTATGTATATACTTAGCTTAAGTTACTCAGCCTTAAGCTTATACTGATGTTATGTTCAGTTATACTGTGCCTCTATCAGAGTCACTTATATATATATATATATGTGTATTTTTCAATATATTATTAATGTAATACCCCAATTATGGCATTATATAACCTATGGTTTTTTAATACAGGAAATATCCTAAGTCTACGCCTTCATGAAGTTCCCGTAGGGGCTATTACAGTTATATCTATACAAAATCACTAATTATAAATCCAAAGTATTCTATTACTCCCACCTCCGTTTCCGTAGGATTCTACAAGCAAAAGAGCGTGAGTCAGGATAAGGAAAAATATGTAATTTTTGGAGTAAAATTGATATTTTATACTTATCCTGACTCATGAGGTCAGCCCTCCCATCCTCCCCACATAACACTTTGGATTTCCCTGTAAATTCAAGTGTTTGGCTCGCAAAATCAGGAGAGAGTGAAGCACATGGCCAGAGGGTGGCGACACCTGTTCCCGCCAGAGGGGCAAAGGGGAGCAACTCGTGGTGAGTACCAATTAGTGATTTTACATTGAAGGGAGCTTCAATTAAGGAGATACAAGTGTTCCACTGTGTTCGCAAGAAGAAGAAGACAAGCAAAAGAGCATGAGTCAGGATAAGTATAAAATATCAATTTTACTCCAAAAATTACATATTGCTCTAATTTCACAGCTATGCTATGCTGAGTTCCTTGTCCTGAGGGGGAGGTGGGGTAGCATAATGGTTAAAAAGTCAGTCTGTCAGGCCGAAGACCGGGTTTGAATCCACATATGGGTACAATGTGTTAAGCCCATTCCTGGTGTCCCCCCGCCGTAAATTGCTGGAATATTGCTAAAAGCGGCGCAAAACTGTGATGCACATACCAACACAGCTACCTCAGCCTCAGTCTGACAGCAGACAAAGTAGACAGAAAGCTGACCCTGACTAAACTGCTGAGAAAAAATTGAAGCTTTTGAAATTCATTACATTATACTGAAGTTGTCTCTTTGTCTTCTGAACATCTTATAGGGTGATGCAGTTTATTTTTGGATGAGTAGGAAAATCCAATTACCGTATTTCCTCAATTAAGCACTTGGCCTCTAATACTCGCCGGGGGTAAAGCAGCTAGCTAACAATTAGGTAATTAGACCCAGTAAGCGCTGAAGCGATGGGCCTCTGATGAGAGCCGGGTCTGGAACGCTGTTGAAAAAATAAGCGTTAGGCTCTTATTAGAGGAAATTCGTTACTTGAAACTTTGTCCTTATATATTCACGTAAAGCCTGTTACAGACATAGAATAAGTTTTAAATCATGTTGCTTTTACAGAATTTAGACAAGAAAATCATTTTTGGTTACTGGTCATCCTTCATTCCTGACACGGCAGGGGCAGGTAACTCTCCCCAGAATCAAACTCTCTTCACTTCCATCCTCAAGGACCCTTCACCCATGGTAAGAACTGGCATCAATCTTTAACTTCAATACGTTTGAAACTGACTGCTGCATTTTTTTGACTGTGGACCCTCCTTTTTATCTAAGTGGTGAAACTGAATGCATTTATGTGTGGTGTATTATAGACATGTGTGTACAGTTGCTTGGTCACTTGGAATTATCTATGATCAGATAGAGACTACCATTTCTTGGGTAAAGGTATATGGTATCTAATGTATCAGCTGTCTCATGATTGTTTCAGTGCCGGATGGGAGCGCTATCGGCTCTGACGGCTCTGGTAGACAGAACACGAGCCTTCCTGGCCCAGGCTGAAGAAAAGTAAGGTTTAACTGTTAAACCGTCATACACACACCCATTATACTGAGCATACACAAATCACGCTTCATTAGTTGCTCTTAACTAATTAATAACTAGGTTAATAAGTGAATTGCTTGACTTAATTGTAATAGACTTTATTAACTTAGATGACTTATATTACTATGGAACCCTGTTTATTTGAATAGCTTGATAATGATAACATGACTGCTAACATATACAGTTATCAAGTGAGAACAGCGTTCGTGCCTTTCTCCGCCGTCCTCGGCTCCATGATCAAGGAACTCCACAGATGTCTGCTGCTGGCCCTGGTTGCCGAGAACTTCCCTCTGGCTCTCACTCAACTCATCAAGGTTCGAATTAAACACTGTCTGTACTCCAATCATCTCTTACCCCTCGGACCCATGAAGATCCGGGTTAGAATTGGTCTTCAGCAACCCATGCATGTTGTAAGAGGCGACTAACGGGTGGTCAGGCTCGCTGACTTGGTTGACACATGTCATTGTATCCTAGTCGCATAGATCGATGCTCATGCTGTTGATCACTGGGTTGTCTGGTCCAGACTCAATTATTTACAGACCGCTGCCATATAGCTGGAATATTACTGGGTGCAGCATTAAACAACAAACCAACCAACTCTTAGCACTTGGAGAATGCATTGTATCTGTCCACTGCATCCTATCTATAGAGGATCCTTGGTCGCCACCTTTTGCATCTTATGCTTGTCATCAGAGGCTGTTTAAGTCAAATGTTTAGGCTCCAGCTTGTTGCTGGCTTGTCGATGTACCAGATGAAGTGGATCTTTGATCAACATAAATCAGTGGATACACATGTTGGCATCCACTCTCACACAAAAAAAAATGCAAGCACACACATAGTATTTTAAATATCAAAATAAGTCCTGAGTTCGATTCCCCACTTGGGTATAATGTGTGAAGCCCATTTCTGGTGTCCCCCACTATGATAATGTTGGAATATTGCTGAAAGTGTCGTAAAACTGAACTCAATCACACTCTCAACAAAAGTCACAAATATGTTGATCAAAATTTGGTTGTTGGTGGTGAAAGTCAAATGACATAAAGACTATCTTTGAGAGACTGAAGTAAAGAGTAAAGTGAAGGTGAAGTCATGGTGTCACTGCATCCCTTATTTTTTACATAAACCTGAAAGTGTTGCTTGTGACATTATTTTTTTTCCTTCTAGTGTTTGGGCACACTGGTGATGAATGTTCCCTATCACAGGCTTCATCCCGGACTTTTGACCAGGGTTGTCAAACAGATACGCCATTTCCTCAACCACAGAGGTAGGTACTTGCCCCTCCCATGACCACAGAGGTAGGTACTTGCCCCTCCTTCGACCACAGAGGTAGGTGCTTGCCCCTCCCTCGACCACAGAGGTAGGTGCTTGCCCCTCCCTCGACCACAGAGGTAGGTGCTTGCCCCTCCCTCGACCACAGAGGTAGGTGCTTTCCCCTCCCTCGACCACAGAGGTAGGTGCTTGCCCCTCCCTCGACCACAGAGGTAGGTGCTTGCCCCTCCCTCGACCACAGAGGTAGGTGCTTGCCCATCCCTCTATCACAGAGGTAGGTGCTTGCCCCTCCCTCGACCACAGAGGTAGGTACTTGTCCCTCCCTCGACCACAGAGGTAGGTGCTTGCCTATCCCTCGACCACAGAGGTAGGTACTTGTCCCTCCCTCGACCACAGAGGTAGGTACTTGCCCCTCCCTCGACCACAGAGGTACTTGTCCCTCCCTCGACCACAGAGGTAGGTGCTTGCCCATCCCTCAACTACAGAGGTAGGTACTTGCCCATCCCTCAACCACAGAGGTAGGTACTAGCCCCTCCCTCGACCACAGAGGTTGGTACTTGCCCATCCCTCGACCACAGAGGTAGGTATTTGCCTCTTTTTCATCCATTAAGACAGGTATCAGCTACTTTCTTGAACATAGAGGCACAAGCTACTATTTTGATGTGTCAGTGGATTTTAGTATATCTACATAAACTTTACCGGCCACTTTTTCTATTGTGACATAGAAAGGTATGAGATTTTGGTGTCATTCTTGTGAATTGTCTGCCTTGGACCTGGCATGGGGATCTGCAGCCCATACGACCCTTGCTCATTTTCCTCCTTTTTCACTCATACCCATTGTCATCCCAGCATAGAGGTAGGTACTAGCACCAATCTCAGCTGTAGGGTAGGTTTGGTAGAAGTGTCAGTATGAGTCACGTCTTATCACTCCTTCTGTACCTGCATTTTCAGACCCGAACGTGCGAGTTGCCTGCCTGACCTGCCTTGGGTCCGTGGTCAGTATCCAGCCCCCTCTCATGGAGGTGTGTCACATAGTCCAGCCGTCCACCCCACCGGTCAGCACCAGGATCTACCCCACAGAGTCTGCTCTGTCCCAGAAACCAGACGACAAATCAACTGATTCCGGTTTCAGTAGTATCTCAACGACCGACTCAGCCAATCAAATCCTGGGTCAGAGTTCAGGTCAAAGCTCAGGTCTGAACACCCCTGCCTTGGCTGCAACACCAGGTATCCAGACACCAGTATTTTCAGATCAGACTCTGCAGGCCTTTGCAAATGACACGTCGTGGATCATCAAGCTCTGCATCCGGAACGTGATGCCGCAGCCACAGGGAGACAACTCCAGCAACTGGAGGGACGCCAGCGTGTCTTTTGAACCACTGCCAGTTCGTCTGGAGTCTCTTCAGGTCCTTGCCAATCTCACTAACGGATACTTTCCAATAATCAGGTAATTAGGTTATTAGTGAGTGAGTTTTGATTGTTTTAAGAAATGTTCCAATACTGAGCGACTCCTGTAACCACTAGACTACCCCACAACCCAGATACTGTAAAAGTGAATAAGTAGGTTTGGTTTTTATGCTGTGTTTAGCACTATTCTAGCCATATCATGGAATGAAGCGACTGCTGTAACCATTAGACTACCCCATCGCCCAGTTTGGATAGTAGTGAGTGAGTAGATATGGTTTTGTGCTGGTTTCAGAACTATTCTGCCACAATTCTACCACTAGACTACCCATCGCCCAGTGAAAGTTACAACAAAATTGACTCATACCTGCCTCTCAGACCCAACCTGGATTCTTGCACCAGATCTCAAGTGTCATATGCTGCATTGACAGAATTGCCCTTTGAAATTTATTAGAGGACCCTGTACTGTTGCTATTCTACGTCTGCAACATACTTTAGAGATTTGAAATGTGAGTTATCTCCCCCTGAACGGATACCCATGTCCTTAATCTAAGACTTAAGTCCGTCTTAACTCAGGGGATAAAACAGGTACTGGTTGGTTTACAGACTGAGTTTGATATCCATGTTAAACTGCAGCATAAAACCAGCGCAAGCAGCCCCATTCAGACATGAACTTTGCTATACAAGTGCAACGACCTTGTACCCATTTCACCTCACCTCAGTGCATCATAGTGTGGGGGCATGGTGGGCTAGCTGGCTAAGGCGCCAGGCTAGTGATCCACTGAGCATTAGGTGCTGGGATCCAGCCCACTTGTGACCTGGTGTAAAAACCTTGGAGTCAACTTTGTGTGCAGACTCTTTCAGTGTTGTCACAACCCCTGGTTTACAGTACACAACCCTGTGCACTTAAAAGAACCCATGAATCAGTTTGTGTATGACCAGATGGTGGCCACATGAATACATGCAAACACCTAGTTGCGGGTACAGCAACGTGCAGTAAACTTGGACAAAGTACTGTGACTATGTGTCGCAGTCAACCCAGCTGTGAATGGGTACCTCGTTAGGATGGGAAAGCTGCAATAACTCGGTGCATCTTGTGGCTGCAAGAGTTGTATGGTCCCCAGGGAGTTCAGATTGATCATAAGATGTGCCATTGAGATATACATCCAATGATCGAGGGGGGGAAAAATACCAGCGCCTTGAGCATGCACTAGTGCGTGGATATGTGCGCTAAATAAATATCCAATAAAAATAATATAATAAAGTGTTCCAAACATTATATGAGTAACTGCACCTGTAGCTGTGTCAAACAGAACGATCCAACTAGTACCACTCCATACTGATTCCCAGAAGTTTGGAAGTTAGTGTTGAGATACTGTTCACCATGTACCTGTGTTGCAGGAAGAGTGTGGCACTGCTTCAAGACCTCATCCAGGCCTGCTTCAAGGACAAAGACCCTATAGTTAAACTTCACGGAACAAAGGTACACTGATCAATACCTTCACATAATTTATCCCTCATGAAGACATTAAAACCAAGATAACCCAAATCAAAGTCTAAAATTGTTTACTCTACCAGTCCTAATATGTCTTACAGTATCATTTCAGTTGAATCTAGTGTTTCTACGTAAACTGTTATTAGCTAAACTGTCGAGGCAAAACAGGGCCTCCTTTCACAAAGCATTAAGGTGATCGTAAGTCACTAAGGTAACCTCGGTGCAATGTTAAAGAATAGGAGTTAAGGTTAACCTTAGTAAAGGTACTTCGTGAAAGGAGCCCCAGATTTTTTATTTGCTAATAGCAATCTGTGTTATGTTCTCTGCTAATAGAACAGTTGACTTGCAATGCATGTGTCAATGGTGTTGGGTGTGTATCAAGATCGTCTTATCGTGGGTTTGAATCCCAATAATGGATCGTTGGTTTTGTACGCACCAGATTCATGGTTTTATCAAAGCAGTGAGCATCGACAACCATCACTTTGGACTTCTCTTCCACATTGTCAGAACACTGTGACCAATATGATGTGACCAACTGAAGACTGATCACAGGAAATGGTTTAAGATGTTGAGTCTTGTTTTAAGAAAGGACAAACTGTTAATCCTTGGCCTACAATGTCTCTATGTGTCAGTGTAATGAAGTATCTATGTGTCAGTGTAATCATCTACCTATAGTATGTGTCAATGTAATCATCTACCTGTCAATGTAATCATCTACCTGTCAATGTAGTCATCTACCTGTCAATGTAATCATCTACCTGTGTGTCAATGTAATCATCTACCTGTCAATGTAATCATCTACCTGTCAATGTAATCATCTACCTGTCAATGTAATCATCTACCTTTGTGTCAGTGTAATCATCTACCTATGTGTCTACCTGTCAATGTAGTCATCTACCTGTCAATGTAATCATCTACCTGTCAATGTAATCATCTACCTGTCAATGTAGTCATCTACCTGTCAATGTAATCATCTACCTCTGTGTCAGTGTAATCATCTACCTATGTGTCTACCTGTCAATGTAATCATCTACCTGTCAATGTAATCATCTACCTGTCAGTGTAATCATCTACCTGTCAATGTGATCATCTACCTATGTGTAGTTGCTGGACGAGCTGACCCAGGCCATGCTGCAGGACATCCAGAAGCAGGCTGCGGACTCCACAGCAACATCCACAGCAACATCCACCATCACACTGCAGCAGGTATACCTCTTACATGACATCTTCAGCAACACACTATACCCATGATGGAGATAAGAAATAGAATTGGTCTTCAGCAACTCAGGCTTGTTGTAAGAGGGAACTTATGGCACCAGGTGGTCAGGCTAGCTGTCATATCCCGTAATACCTCTGCATTACATCTTCATCTTCACTTGTCATTTGGGTCAACTCATTGGATCATATGGTCAGAATTGTTGAATGTCATATAATCCCAGATGTGTAGATCAATGCTCATGATGTCAATCACTTGATTGTTTGGTCCAGACTTTATTATTTATAGTCTGACTTCATATAGGTGGAACATTACTGAGTGTAGTATTAAACTCCAAACAACCAACCAAATGAACAAACTAGCATGCTCCGATGGAACAATGTGGCAGTTTACATGCTGATTGTATGAGTTATCTGAACTATGCTTCCTATCAAAAGTTTAGACTCACTGGTCTAAATGTAGCCACTTACTTCAGGCAACTGTTCTACACTATATTTTGCAAAATGTTCCATACTGTTTAAAGGTACTGTTTACACATGAACTGATGTATTGTAAAACAAATTTGTAACATTGAAAAGATTATTGTCATGACTTCAATAAATTATACAAATCAATGAAAATTGGCAAATTCTTAACAAAACTTTACACCAAAACGCAGCTGTTCACGTGTACGATATTTGCACATGTTTTCAGCAATTTGATGCGTAATCCTCGTGCAATTCATCTGCTTATGGTCTGCAGTTGATTCCCTCAAGTTAGTGGAGAAATCAATCTTTGTTGTAACTATATATATATACATAACATATAGTGAGTGTTTTGAGTGAGTCTAAACTTTTGATGGGAAGTATATTTTTGTCTCACTGTTCTTCTGATAAGTTATACCCCATCTGAAAATTAACTATGAATGAAGCAATCATGAGGGCATACATGATCTCTATATTTGTATCAGTTGACCAGGATTTTGATCTTCAATCTTTAGTACCACGATACACCATAAGACACACTTAAAGTCAAGTTTGAGAATCCTCAGAATCCCCCACAAAAGTAAAGACTTGGTTATTACCTGAGTAAGTGGGAGCCATCTGATGAACATATTACATGGCTCCATTTTCTGGGGCAGGTCCAGGAGTTCTGGGAATGTCTGCTGAACGGCCCGCTGCCCACCATGCTGCAGCTGGAGAGGAACAACCAGGTCCGCGCCAACGCCTGTGACTGCATCTCCAACATCGGCCCAGACGTCCTCTCCAATCTGCCGGTCAGTGGCCTACAAACTATACCTTCTGTACGGTTCATGTACTTATAGGCACAATTCCGCAATTTTAATAGAAAGACAGACATTAATGTTTTAATTTGTGTGATCATTTCTTGATAATGGATGTGAAAATAGAATGATTCACCTACAGAATCTGGTTTCAGATGGACCGCCGTGTGCTGTGCATCACCCTGATCCTAGGGTTAACTTGTGAAGAAGACAAGCTGGTCAAGTCAGCCGCCGTGAGAGCTCTGGGGGTCTATGTGCTCTTTCCCTGTCTGAGGGAGGTAAGATATATTGTACAGTGTAAATAGTACAAGATGTAGTAAATAGTACAAAACCTAAAGATTTACCATTAAATTTCCTTCAATACAAGTGTTAACTTCAGCACTTGCACAAATCTACTAACGCCATAGGTAAGCTTGGATAGTTTAGCCTTTTCATTGTATATAGGTTCATGGCTATTGTCACTCGGTCAGTCACAGGATGGGCCTGTGATCAGGGTCTTGTTCTCTCGGGGCATATGATCGTTTCACGCATGTGGAGTCAGGGATTCAAACTTTAGCTGATCAGTCAGCATATTTCTTTTGTCTTCTGTGAGCACATTCTCTGCACTAGAACACATAGGGGCTGATCACAATACATCTGTGAGCACATTCTCTGCACTAGAACACATAGGGGCTTATCACAATACATCTGTGAGCACATTCTCTGCACTAGAACACATAGGGGCTTATCACAATACATCTGTGAGCACATTCTCTGCACTAGAACACACGGGGGCTTATCACAATACATCTGTGAGCACATTCTCTGCACTAGAACACACACTGGCTTATTACAATACATCTGTGAGGCATTCCAGTCTGCATCCCTGAGACTCTGCATCCCTGAGACGAGGGCAGATCTGGACTACCTTGTAGTACTCCATTTGAATAAATCTCTCGAACCCTACAAGTACTCCATTGGTTTTTTTAAGAGGACCTGAGTACCACTGTTACAGTTCTAGCCCACAGAGATACTTTACCGCAGTTAACATGGATACCCTATGCACACACATGACCCGGAGATGACTGGTGTTTGTTTTATCCCCTAAATGTCAAACAGGTTATGGGTACAATGTGTGAAGCCCATTTCTGGTGTTCCCCGCCGTGATGTTGCTGGAATATTGCTAAAAGCGGCGTAAAACCAAACTCAGTCAGTCAGTCAGTCAGTCAGTCAGTCAGGTTAACAACAGGGGCCATGTACTTTGAAAAAAATGGCCAACATGATGATGGTTGTTTCTTTAAATACCCTATGTATACATTGTTTATATCAGTGTATGAAATATGGCCCGTCCGCCCACCCAAGATGGGCTAGATTTCTGACTTTACAGCTATCCAGCCTGATTGTCTGGTACAAGTTTTTAGATGTTCTATACATATGAGTAAATTCAGCATATCTTGGTGTCTGCTCTGGTTAAATCCATTTTGGGCTGGTAACATTTAGAAGTTATGTCCTGATGTCTGGCTTGGTTTTTGGCTTATTTCATACACTGTTTATATGCACACTGTGGAGTATAAAGGAGAATACATAGTAATTAAAAATTCATAAATCACCATGCACAATCAGACAGGCAGGTGTCTAGCTCATTCATCAGTGTGGTACAAATCATTATTGACTGCCTTCTGTCCAACAGGATGTGTCTTTCATCGCCGATGCTGCAAATGCCATCCTGACAGCAATGGAGGACTGGAGCGTCAACGTCCGCATGAAGGCAGCCTGGTCCATGGCCAACATGTGTGACGCCCTCGCCCTTAACAGGTCAGACCAGATTTCTGTGTCAGATGTATGTTTAGATGGTCATGGAACTATTTATTGACTGGATCAAAGGAAGAGTGTGGAAACATGTTTTCTCCTCCTGTCCAAATAGATATTGTGACAGCACATCTTGCAAGTAACCATGGTAACTGCCTACTCAAATAGATGAGGATCAAAGAGAGAATGGGGAAATATGGTTTATGTTTGTGTTTCAAGCCCAATCCAAACAGATTATGTGGCAACACATGTTACTAGTAACCATGGTAACTGCCTACTCAAAAAGATGGGGATCAAAGGAAGAGTAGGGAAATATGTTTGTCTTACCTTAAAGAGGGTGTCCAAGCAGAGATTATGTGGCCACATATATTGCAATAAACATTGAGGCTACCCATTCAAACAGATAGGAGTCAAGAGGAAGTGTGGGGATATGTTTCTGCTAGATATTAGCAGCATTAGAATTGAGACCAATGCTTGGAGACTCTGTTAACTTTTAAAATTTCCACAACCCCACAAAAGCACAAAGATTTGTAATGTACTGAGAAAGTGAAACCCTAAACTAGGCGAACTGGGCTAGTGATCCAGCAAGCCTGAGGTGCCATGATCAAGCCCACCTGTGACCGGGTGTAAAAACCTTGGAGTCAACTTGCTGTGCAGACTCTCATTGTTGTCACAACCCCTAGTGTACAGTACATAACCCTGTGCACTTAAAAGAACCAACAAATCCATTGGTATATGACCAGATGGTGGCCACATGAATATGTGCAAACACCTAGTTGCATACGACATTGTGCAGTAAACTTGGACAAAGTACTGTGACTATGTCCTAGTCCACCCAGCTGTGAATGGGTACCTCGTTAGGATGAGAAAGCGGCAATAACTCGGTGCACCTAGTGGCTGCAAGAGTTGTATGATCCCCTGGGAGTTGAGATTGATAATATGATGTGCCGTTGAGTTTGACATCCAATGATCGAAGGTAAATCAAGCACCTTTGAGCAGCTGAGCTGGATATTGGCGCTGTACAATAATAAAAAAAAATATGTCACAGGGAAGACCCAGGTTTCATTCCCCATGTGGGTGCAGAACTCCCGGGGTTGTATGTCATTGTAATAATGAAGTATACATCATTCACTCTGTTACTGCCCTGATAACGTTTTCACAACTTTCTACTGACAGGGAATGTGGTGACCTGGAGTTTGTAGATGAGTTCTCTGACATGCTGCTGCTCAAGCTCCTCACAGTGGCAACCAAGGCGTCTCAGGACACTGACAAAGTCAAGTCAAACGCTGTCCGTGCAGTCGGCAACCTGCTGCGATATCTCACAGAAAGAAGTCTAGGTAATACTGCAGCCAACTTTTGATTAAGTTTGTAAGGAAATGTGCAGAGTTGTGTCCCTTGTTTCTAAATCCTGATCTGATCATGATCTCTGGCTTGTTAAAGATTTCCGTAGCTGCTTAATATGTAAGCTTCCCCAAATTACTGTCACGTAATGCTCTGAGCAAGAGCTATTAGGGTTGGGTATTGCACAGAATTTTTCATATTGCGATATATTGCGATGCGAAAGCATGTATTGCGATATGTATTGCAATATATTGCCTGAAGTATTTTTAAACAAAATACTACTTATAAGCGAGTTAATGCTTGATTTATAGAGCAAAAACACAACAAAATCACTATGCTTGATTAAGCTTTAATAACAACTTTTAATCATGATAAAATAAAAATATGAAGATTATTTGGCACAAATGAAACGGAAATATCCGAAGATTTTCGAGTGTTACGAAAGTTTTCCAAATGCAAGCCAAAATACCGGTTTTCAACCAGCGTATCGCAATATGTATCGTTTTCATGTAAATACCGGTAAACCGGTTATATTGCGCAGCCCTAAGAGTTATGTGCTTTGGATATTGACCAATGAGTCTTGCAGTGATGATAAAGGCCTTTTAATGTGCAGCTTGATATCATTAGTCATGCTTGAGGTACAAGGGAAATTTAAACCACCTTCTCTTTCCCATGAGTGTCATACTAGTGTCAGGTTTGGCTTGAAAAATCTGGTGTCTTTTCATGCTAGGTCATCATGCAGTTTTGACTTGTAACTAATGACAACACGGTTTGATAGTGGCCAGTCTTTGTTACAGTGCATGATCGCTACAGTTGTAATGGAAAAATTGATGATCTAAGCACAATGTAATCAGATGTATCTCATTATGTAATTTGCAGTCAAAATCGTTTTTAAACTCTTCCATGCATTTTCTTTGTGGGCAGGTAAAAGTAACTTTGTGAGTGCAGTTGGAGAGAGTGTGAAGGCTCTGGTGAAGAACATCCTGTCGGGGACGATGAAGGTAGGTACCAGGGGCGGAGACAGCTTTTTGAGAAAGGTGGGGTGCACACTATTGAGAAAAGGAGGGGTGCACACTTCATTTTCACCTGAGTTTCAATGGTCATTTAACTAACTTTCAGCACAAAAGGGGGTGTGCATACCCCTACACCCCCCCTCTGGGTTACTGGTTTACACTAGTTGTGTACAGGTTATTGCACACATTATGGGTGATACCAGTGTATGAAATATGCCAAAAACCCAGCCTGACATCAGGGCTGGTAACTTCAAAATGTTACCACCCGTGATGGTCCGGGTTAGAATGTGCCTTCAGTAACCCATGCTTGTCGTAAGAGGCGACTGACGGGATCGGGTGGTCAGGCTCGCTGACTTGGTTGACACATGTCATCGGTTCCAAATTGCGCAGATTGATGCTCATGCTGTTGATCACTGGATTGTCTGGTCCAGACTTCGATTGTTAAGCCCCATAAAGCTGGAATATTGCTGTGTAAAACTAAACCACCACCATGTTGCTGGAATATTGCTAAAGCGTTGGTAAAACCAAACTCAGTCACTCACTCAATGTCAAAATGTTACTGGTATCAGCCCAAACTGGAATATTGCTAAAGCCAGACCAGACATCAAGATATGGTGAATTTACTCACATGTATGAAACATCTGCAAGTTTTACCAGACCATCAGGCTGGGTAGCTGTAAATTTAGGGCATCAGAAATCTAGCCAAAATCTAGCCAGTTCAGGCCGTCGGACGGGCCTCATTTCATACACTTGTGATACCCATGAAGATCCGCGATAAAATTGGTCTTCAGTAGCCCATGCTTGTCGGAAGAGGCAACAAACAGCATCGGGTGGTCAGGCAGGCTGACTTGGTTGACACATGTCATCATATCCCAGTTGTGTAGATCGATGCTCATAGTGTTGATCACTGGATTGTCTGATCCGGACTTGATTATTTACAGACTGCCGCCATATAGCTGGAATATTGCTGAGTGCAGTGTTAAACAACAAAGCGTCAACGAACAATCCTCAAGGGTGATATGAACCTCAGAGATGGGTTTTGGTAGACTCATACCAATGACGGTTAGGTACAATAAGCTGTGATTTAACTGGAATACTGTTCAAAGTGGCGTCAAACCCAACACAAGCATTTCATCAGTTTTTATATGACGGCTAGATTTCCGCCCTTTTGATTGGCCAACTTGGTCACATGACAGCTTTACCGCTTCGCCTCGGTGAATATCACATGTCCAAGGTCGATAAATCATTGGATCAATCTCACTAGAAGTCAATAATTGTATGATGTTCTCCCATAGGTGAGGTGGAACGCCTGCTACGCTATCAGCAACATGTTCAAGAACAACCTACTGCCCCATGGCAAGGCTGAGTGGACAGTAAGTGTGTTTTGTGTTTGTGCAGAATCTTCAGTATTCTTCCCATAGAGTTAAACTATAATTTATCCCAATGAAGATGTTTTTTAGGTCCTTAAGCTTCTCTTTTAATTCATTTTGTTGTAAAGTTTGTCTACTAAGGTTTTTGCCCTGAGCTTCTGCCATGTAAGACAATTATCTGTTTGTAGAAAATGAAACTGATCCTTGTGTCCTTGAGGTTTTATTTGAATCTAGGGACCCCTTGAATCTCCAATGCTTTCAACTATCGGGCTAACATTTACCAGAAACCTGAATCTAAATCTTTCAGGGTGATGATAATTGTAGGTTTGACAAGCCTACACCTGCGTTGTGTCAGTAAATGTGTCAGGTGTCTAGGACCTGCATGACGTCCAGCTCTTCTCCCACATGAAACGGTCTCGCTTAGATGTAAACAGACCACTGTTCACAACTCACTGTTGTTTTGTAGATTGAAGTGATGAAAGCTCTCTCCTCTGTGGTAAATGGGTTAAAGTCTGAGACCTGGGTGACCTTTTCCTAGATGAAGCTGCCACACTTTGATGTAAACAGACCACTGTTCACAACTCACTGTTGTTTTGTAGATTGAAGTGATGCAGGCGCTCTCCTCTGTGGTGAAAGACTGCAAGAACTTCAAGGTCCGCATCAATGCTGCCCTGGCTCTCTCTGTTCCCGAGAGAGGAATGCCTACGGCTTCGCCCGAACTGTACGCCTCAGTGTGGGAGAGCCTCATCGTGGCGCTCAGGTCATCCGAGGATGTCTCCGACTTTGCAGAGTTCCGCTACAGGGACAATCTGACCGATCAGGTAGCTGGATGTTGATTCACTTGAACTGACCAAAGGGGATCCAAGATGTGCTGGTGGTCAGAAGCATTCAAATGTTGATTAGTTTTGGTCAGCTGTGAACTACTGTAAGTGGGGTGGGTTGAAAAAGAAATATTCTGGGCTTTTGGCAGATTCAGTGTCTTAAAATATAAAAATGTGGAATACAGTTGAAAATTACAGAAATCTTGCCACCTATATTCAGTAATTAACTACCTCTATTGTTGAATAAATATAATGAACTCTTTCAAATGATGTTCAAGTATACAAACACTTAAAAGGAAAAGGGAGGCTACTCATGGGTGAGTGATATTACGATCGCTTCAGGGAATCGAAAAGGATTCAAGTTTCCACCTAACTGTCGAAAGGAGAAGGGAGATAAGCAATAAGCATGAGTCAGAATAAGTACCGGTATAAAATATCAATCTTATCATAAAAGTTACATATTGTTGAATGAACATATTGAACTCTTTCATATGATGTTCAAGTAAACCAACACTAAAATGGGTGTAAAATACCTGTCACTCACTCACCCTCCATCATGTAGATCATAGAGGCCATCTTCCACATGCTGCACATGCTGTGCCCCGAAGATCTGCCGGCGCTGCTGCCATGTCTGCAGTCCAAGGGCTTCATCCTACAAACCTTCATGGAGAAACTCCGTTCATCCAAAGCCCCGTTCCTTAAGGGTAGGGAAGATCATCTTTGCTTTGGTTCTACCATCTTATAAGTGTGTGTACATCTTGAGGTTGAGTGAAGGTTGTAGGGCATATAGCACCATTAAGAGTGTTTCAGTACATTGCCGGCTCATCCTTTGAGGATTCATCCTGTAAAAGCTGTCTGCCTGCCTACCTGATGGGAGGGGCAGTAGTAGCTGAAGGGTTTAACATCCTGAAATTCCGCTTGCAGCATTACACCCATGTAACATTCATGTTGTGTCCAGGTCCAACACTGCCCAATGTAACTTGTGTAACATTCCTGTGTTCAGGTCCAACGCTGCCTTGTAACACCATGTAACATTTCTGTGTCCAGGTCCAATGCTGCCCTGTAACTCCATGTAACATACTTGTGTCCAGGTCCAACGTTGCCCTGTAACTCGTGTAACATTCCTGTGTCCAGGTCCAACACTGCCCAATGTAACTTCATGTAACATTCCTGTGTCCAGGTCACAACACTGCCCTGTAACACCATGTCCACACTGCCCAATGTAACCATGTAACATTCCTGTGTCCAGGTCCAACACTGCCCTGTAATGTGTAACTACTTGCCCAATGTAACCATGTAACATTCCTGTGTCCAGGTCCAACACTGCCCTGTACCACCATGTAACTGCCCAGTGTAACCATGTAACATTCCTGTGTCCAGGTCCAACACTGCCCTGTACCACCATGTAACTGCCCAGTGTAACCATGTAACATTCCTGTGTCCAGGTCCAACACTGCCCTCTAACACCATGTAACATACTTGTGTCCAGGTCCACTGCCCAGTGTAACCATGTAACATTCCTGTGTCCAGGTCCAACACTGCCCTGTAACACCATGTAACCACTGCCCAATGTAACCATGTAACATTCTTGTGTCCAGGTCCAACACTGCCCTGTAACACCATGTAACATTCCTGTGTCCAGGTCCAACAATGCCCAATGTAACTCATGTAACATTCCTGTGTCCAGGTCCAACACTGCCCTTTAACACAGTGTAACTGCCCAGTGTAACCATGTAACAGTCCTGTGTCCAGGTCCAACACTGCCCTGTACCACCATGTAACTGCCCGATGTAACAATGTAACAGTCCTGTGTCCAGGTCCAACACTGCCCTGTACCACCATGTAACTGCCCAATGTAACCATATAACAGTCCTGTGTCCAGGTCCAACACTGCCCTGTACCACCGTGTAACTGATCAATGTAACCATGTAACATTCTTGTGTCCAGGTCCAACACTTCCCTGTACCACCATGTAACTGCCCAATGTAACCCATGTAACATTCCTGTGTCCAGGTCCAACACTGAAGACAGCCAGGATGCAGGTGGAGAAGGTGGGACTGTGTCTGTCCACTGGAGATGATCTTGTGGCCATGCAGCTGCTCACAGAGCTCTGTCTCATACCAGCAGGTAAATAGCTGAACAGAAACAGCCGGCTTGTCTCTTACCTCCCAGAATGTATTAATCATACTGGGTCCAGTCCAAGGTCTTACCCAGTAAATGACTTTGTCTCAAATACGCCTGTGTTCACCCAGCAGTGAATGGGTACCTGGTAGAAATGTTGTACATTGACTGTTATCCAGCGGAGATAATGATGCATATACAATAGATAACAAATAGCAGTCAGTGTGGTAGTAAAATGGTTGTCCTAACTGCATGAGTACTGTACTCTTGACACTGTGACATGTTATTCCTTGCTATCTGCATGAGTGGACATTGATTATACATTATAGGGGCAATAGGGGTAGCCTTGTGGTTAAAGTGTTCAGTCGTCACATAGACAACCTGGGTTCGATTCCCCACATGAGTACAATGTGTGAAGCCCATTTCTGGTGTCCCCCGCCATGATAATGCTGGAATATTTCTAAAAGCTGCGTAAACCTAAAACTCACTCACTCGTTATACATTATATTTCTGGAAGAACAACCATTTTCCCTACAAATACAGCTCCACAATGCTGTCCTGGTTACCATGGTGATAAAGATACTTCTGTGATTTTTCAGAAACTGACGAGGAACAAGACAACAGACCAGCCGAAAAATCAGCGTTCATGCAAATCTATGACTAATGATGCTATTGATACTGAGCATGAAGAAATAGATATTTGTCTACATGCCATCCTGTATACTGCAGTCACATTTAGCACTGTGATTACATGTGGATGATACAGATCTGAAGTCCAGGGGGGCTGCTTTAGTAATTATTGTTTCCCTCTTGGAGTCAGAGAATTTTTCTGCAAATTTCGGACAATTTTTTATGCTGTTTCCCTGATTAAAATCTGCTTCTTGATCAACGTTGATGGATTTCCATCACATAGAATTGTATCAATAATTTTTATATTTATTTCTTCTTTTTAATTTATTTTGATATGAGACGCCATGAATTCAATCCAAATGGTAATGCAGCACAAAGCCAACAGCTTATTGATGATGTTAACCTTATTGGTCACGTGGGCAAGGTGTCCAGCCTCAGGTCAGGTCTGTGGTTCAAATCCCATCACTTGATGATGGAGTACAACATGGCAGTGTCACTATACATGTATCAAGTCTTGATTTAAGGATCTTGACTTAGGTTTCCGAAGCTCTCCTAGTGTTAATATGATCGTAAGTGGCATACATTAACATTAACTTACGACTATCTTAGCTCTAAGAGAGCTTTGAAAATCTAGGCCCTTGATTTTACTTGCACCAGATGCTTGTTGACATGAAAACCTAGATGCACCAGATGCTTGTTTACTTGAAAACCTAGATCCACAAGACAACACAAAGTTGCACCCTGTCCTGTAAGTTTGTCAGGATTAGAACATAGGCTGTTCAGCTGTCAGCTGTCAGCTTTAGGCTTAAATACGGAAAATCACTGTTCTTGTGATGAAATATTTTAACCATATTTAAGCCCATGGAGAAAATCCTGTATTTTAGCCCTAGGGCTAAATTTTGCGTGGGCCTAAATACATGAATTCCCAGTAGTGGCTAAAGTGTTGGCTCATCATGCCAAAGCCCGGGTTCCATTCCCTACATGGGTACAATGTGTGAAGCCCATTTCTGGTGTCCCCTGCCATGATGTTGCTGGAATATTGCTAAAAGCGGCATAAAAACGTTCTCACTCACTGAATGCAGAGATATGTATGGTATCACTACATCAGAAATGTATGTCACTACATCAGAAACGTGTCCAGCGAATCCTGGGAACAGTGGACCAATATTTTCTGGGGACCATCGACAGTAAACAGGGACGGTTATGTTCCTTACGAATGTCATATTAGGCCTTTAGTTGCTTGTAATCATTCTCAAAATCTTCATCAGGAAGCAGTGTATCAGGAGTGACACAGTATGAGGTCAACATTACTAAGCATGTAAAAAAGCTGGTAGTGATGACCTTAACTGAAGATAGTATTTATGTTGTTTCCATTAATGCCTTATTGATTTATTTTAATATTCAATGTCCTAGGTACTTCAATGCTGTTTGCTTCTCGAAAAGAAATAGTTGTCCAAAGGATATTGCCTGCTGTTCACTACCAGTTGTCATTAGATTCTTTTATCACTCGTCACGAGTGTTTCTATCTATATATATATATAGTGACGTCTCCTGACGTTAAACAAAACATCTCTCTCAGCAGATCAGTTACACCCATGTCAACCTAACGATGACATCACACAAGTGGTACTATTGAATCTTAGCCAGGAATTCACATCCCATTCCAAACATGATTTAAACTTGAAATCTTAATTTGCTCCAGTAATTGAAAATGTTCTAGGAATGCAATCTGTGATATTCTTGAGTTAATAAGCTCTGTTGTTGACTATTCTTTGTCTGGAAAGTTTATTTAATAAATCTGAATTAATATCTGCTTCATTAGTGTTTTGTCATGTGTTTCTGAGTGGTGAAGACAGGTGGCAGTATTGGTTCCTGGCGATGAGTGAGTGACTTTGGTATATCTCTGCTTATGTATATATAGGAGACATCAAAGTGATTTAAGTACACCTCTGGAGAACCAGGATTACGACAATAAGAACCCATGATCACATATTTCTTTTGTGCTCAAAAGAAGTACATCTGCACAGCAACTTACCTGCCTCAGGTGAATAGACTACCTGTGCCCTTCCTGAAAATAAAGCTTCACTTTAAAGGATACAACTTCACACAGCGACCTACCAGGCCTCATGTGAATAGTTTACCTGTGCCCTTCCTGAGAATGAAGCTTCACTTCAAAAGATACAACTCCACACAACAACTTACCAGGCCGTAGGTGAATAGTTTACCTGTGCCCTTCCTGAGAATGAAACTTCACTTCAAAGGATACAACTCCACACAACAACTTACCAGGCCTCAGGTGAATAGTTTACCTGTGCCCTTCCTGAGAATGAAACTTCACTTCAAAGGATACAACTCCACACAACAACTTACCAGGCCTCAGGTGAATAGTTTACCTGTGCCCTTCCTGACAATGAAGCTTCACTTCAAAGGATACAACTCCACAACAACTTACCAGGCCTCAGGTGAATAGTCTACCTGTGTCTTGCACTTCACAAGAAGTAATTACTAGCTGAGTAAGCTACAGAAACGTGATCTCCTCTATGGTTAGAGTGGTATTCAAGCTTGAGGCTACAAACCCTATACTTACTTACTAGTTGTATAGGAAGAGTATTGGAGAAAGAACTGGGGAAATTGAAAGAGATGTATTTCAATGATTTGGTAAAAGTCCTGCCTCGGTGAGGAAGAACCTGCCCAAATTGCTTGTAAAGCACTGGTTGGTGGTTCTGAACGCTCTTAGACATAATCGTACAGCTTTTGACTGGACAATATCTAGTCTTGCTTTTTATGTGGCACATGTAGATCAAGTTGAGATCTAATGAGGCCATTTATATAGCAGTAATAAACAATTCCTGTCGGCTCCCCACTGGTACTGGAAATATACGAAAAGAACTTAGTTAAGGACTCCCTGACATATCTCACGATTTAATGAGCCCCGATCTTAACCCCTTGGAGCATATCTGGGACATGATTGGTCATCGTGTGCAACAAAGGGATCCTCCTGTACATACCCTGGCCCAATAAGCTGCTTTATACGAGGAATGGCATAGACTTGACTCTTAAGAGGACCAGGAGGCTGACAGAGAGTATAAGGAGAAGAGTGCTGGCTGTCATACAGTCACATGGTGGTTACACTCGGTATTGACCTTGAATCATGTAAGACGCGCAAAATGACATTTGAATGTCACATTCACCAATAGATTCAGCATTAAACATTCCAAGGCCATAAATGTACTGACATGGTTTTGTATGAAAATCAATGTGGTTTTTTTTCCAAATAAGCAATTATCATCATAAAATCAACTTGGATTCCAATCATTTTGTCGTTTTTGTATGAGTCAAAGGATCATACGAGTCAGAAATATCTCATGTTATTCCATCGTGGTCACCACAAGAAGTTTTTATGTACATGTTGAAACCTAACATTGCAAAAATATTAGGGGTGCTTATTTAAGATCTGTGTCTATACTTCTCAGAAGGTTCAGGACTTCAGTGCACTTCTGAATCAGATAGTCAATGTGAGGTTTCCAGGACAGTATCTTATCAAACCAGTCCCCAAAACTTGTAGCTGTTGGTAAGGCAATCGACTCAAGTTAAACAATTTGGTTACACTGAAGGCACACAAACAAGTAGCAACACTGTGCATAAATGTCCAATTTCGCTAACAAGAGCAGGTGATTTGGTGCTCTAAACAGCATATCAGGATAAGGATTCCATCATGGACATGGTACAGGGACACCAAACATACTCCAGGTAAACCTGCAAATCCAATCTATGACAACAGGATTCTGGAAATCTGAAAAGTGAGGCATCCCCATTAAGGGTAGGCTTACCCCTGAAGCTGAGAGAGACCTTCCTTCAGACCAGAATCTTGCCAAGGAATACAAGACAACTCCAGGTTTGAGTGTAGACATGATGTATTTATTTCTGTTGAAAGTTTACATTGATGCATATGTCAGTAGTTGAAATAAATAATTTGCATGTAGAGTGACACTACCTAGACACACATACACAAACTGCTGTGTACAAACAAACACTTCATTTGTCCTCCAACAATCATCTACAACTTGTGCTAAGTGTTTGGTAGTTTCTTTCAGATAGTTGCGTGCATCTTTTCATCAATCAGTCCACATGATCAATGATTCATTCCAAACTCTAAAGAAATTATCAAAACATACAGTTCTCCAAACCGTTACTTCATAGGACTCTCGTAATGCCAGCAAGGACGCTTAAAACTAATAATTAGAGGTCCCTGGGACCCCCATGTTTGTAAGTGGAGGTAAAACCCTGCTTTAATATTGTTCATATAGATGATTAGAATCACACTGCAAATTACTTATAGTATAAAAGGATTAGTATAAACAGCAAGAAAACATGTCTTTTTTTAAATTAAAGATACAAAAAAAATTAGACACTTCAAATCCATGAAAACAATTTTCATAAACATGGTTTTAAATGATTGTTTGAGGACAAGATGGACGAACAAACTTCCATGTGCAACACGAAGCCAACAATGAACATTGCAGTAAGGTAGTTCACTGCTCTGTAAGCAAGAAGTAGAGAAGATCTCTGTAAACTGAATACACATCATATTAAAGGAATTTATATAATGCATTCACAAACAGGCTGTATGACACAAGTTTGTAATACAGTTTAAATAAATACATTTCATTGGTCAAAATTACAATGAATGTGTCTGAATAATCATGAACCCTGTCAATATGAAGTCTACATGGGTGAAACGGTGAGGTATAGTATGCTTTGTATTGTAATAGCAGTAGACAATTACAATTAAATATATTACTGTTCCACAATTTCAAAAATTGAAGAATCGTATTGCACTCAGGAATGACCGTAATTCAATAACAATGAGAAAAGCATTCTAGTAACTGTTCTATTTATAAATCCATTTAAATGTTTACTGTCAAGTCGGCACTTCTAATTAGTAGGTCAAACAGTGGTTGATAGTGTGTGCACTGATCCACAACATCAAGGTTCAATGTAGCATTCATCACTGCTGTTATCGCTTCGCCCTTTCGTCTTTTACAACAAACTGGGGACCCTGACAAACTGACATCAGAAAGAAAAATCTAAGTCTGTGTTTAAGTATGAAAAGTGATAGTCTTTGTGTTAAGGTTCTTTGTACAAGTGGCCTGGATCATAATCTTCAAAAGCTTTGTTACGAATCTGACAATATCTCTACAGTAATCCGAGTATTTTAATCAAATATCAGTTCACTTTCACAATTCCATTTGTCAGCATAAGAATATCTAACATATTAAGTAAAATAAATTTATACCGAACTTAGGTATATCTGTTGACCTGCTTGCATTGATGTCAACAAACGTCAGTTCCCAGAAATATGAGAATAAACTGAGAAAACATTCCTCTTAGTTATTCTGGGGTAGATTGACATGATAAATTGACATAATTAACAGCTTGTGACATAAAATCCCAGTGTACACATGGAAACTAAGGCACAGAGGAAACTGCTACAACAAAGACGTAAACAGCACCAGAAATAAAATCCTGATCAATAACAAATGAGATGAAAATCCTTTCTAAACACAAAAACTAGAAACAGTTTACAATCTGTTCACCTGAAACACAACAAACATGTTCACTGATCTTCAAAGCAACACTGAAATAACAGAACAAATCTTTTGGCAGATATTTGGGGTAGCTTAAAACTTTACAAGTATGCCAGCATGAACATTAAGACTGCAACGATTCATTGAAAAACGAATCTGACACCTTAGTTTTGATTTTCGATGTTCATTATCACTATTTTGGTTAGATATTTGAACACCTATTTAAATTATTTCCACACAGCCAGAACCTAATTTTGACTTCAACTCGAAGCAGTTTCGGGTGCTGAAATAAAGCAAAACATGATTGGTTGACGCCAGGCTAATTATCCAATGAGAACTGTTGTTAATAGACATCACCAAGTTGACGATGGATTTCACACTAAAAAATGCTGAATCTGAGAGTTAAATGAAATCTGATGTTTAACATGTATGAAGAATCGAAAATGATCGAATCGAGGGTCCAATATCGAAAATCGAATCAAATCGAGGTCTGGGTGAATCTTTGCAGCCCTAATGAACATGTTGGTAGAAAGCAGTATGTTGAACAGGTTTTTGGCAACAACAAATAGAAGATTCAGGATTCAACACTTATTGAGTTCAGTTGACGATGGAGTGATACAGCTGGGTTTAACACAGCTCTCTATTTTATTCCCACATCAAACTGAGTGATATAACCAAATCCAGAAGTGCTGAAGGTATTGAGATGTTCACCATTTTCTTCATACCACGAGTCAGAGGTTGACAAACTAAGTGTTAAAATTCATACATTTCTTGGATGAAAACCAGTCATAGGATAAAGTGACCGCTCTGAATATTGTAATGGATTAATAACGTTATATGCCTCTACAAACAAGGTGTATTATAGATAAAAACAAACACATGCATTTAAAGGGGTTCATCTTACGTTAGTACTTCTTCCTCCATTCTATCTATCAAAACTACTGATACAATGGCAGCATCAATGTTAACTTAATGCTATGGCAATACTGATGTTAACCATCAGTATGATGGCACTTGATACCATGACAGTACCAATGTTTACCATTAGTGCTATGGCAATATTGAAGTTAACCTATGAAACCATGGCAGTATTGATGTTCCCCATTAGTGCTATGGCAATATTGAAGTTAACCTATGAAACCATGGCAGTATTGATGTTCCCCATTAGTGCTATGGCAATATTGAAGTTAACCCTTGAAACCATGATACTATGTTCACCATTAGTGC